TGTTTCGTAAAACGTCAAGTAGAGTAGACATAACCTAAAAATTTTCATCGACTAAATGATTTCTTTAGCTTTGCTTTTAAAAACACCAAATTAGGTGAAAAACTTTTTCTATCGTAAAGAAAAAAGCACGAAACCAATTATAAAATAATATACTATAATAATAAATAAATAAAAACTATATAATCACTTTAAGTGTTTTTATGAACTTGAACAAAAAAAATTCAATAATAATATAAGTTATTTTTTTAGGTAAATCTATTTCATTGTAAAAAAAGCTTCGAATCTACAAAATCTCTATGAAATCACCATCTTAAACGCTGCAGTTCTCTATGATTGTAGTACTCAAGAATCAATATCAGAGAAAATCTCAATATTTTGTACGTGGACTAAAAATCATTGCTTTCTTCCTATTTTTCATAATAAAAAGAAAAAAGCCTTTTTTTCCCCTCTGTAATTGCTAACCATGCACAAAATAAATAAATAAATAAATAAAACTCTTTCTTTTAAATAAATGTTTCGATGAAATAAATAAAAAAAGAAAATAAAACCTTTTCTTTTTAATTTCATAATTGTCCTTTTTTATTTAATTTATATTGTTTCAAGATAAAATAAACACAAATTTTTTATAAATGCAAAACATATGAAGAAAACATCAAAATCCACTGTTATTTTCCCATAAAATTCAGGCATTTTGCATCCTCTACTTTCCTTCAAAAACAAGTTTGTTCATATTTTTAGTACGTATTTTTAAATCAAGGTTGCCACCAATTTTGTTTGGTAAAAACTCAACTAACTAGAGTAGACATAACCTTGAAATTTTCACCGACCAAAAGATTTCCTTTCCTTTGCTTTTTATAAAATTCAAAGCATTCAATGGTGGCACCATACCAATTCCGACATACCATTTTTGGCTAAAAAATAATGACAGATTCTGACCTTTCTCTGTCAGTTAGGTTGATAATATTAGCCCTCAATCTTTCTTTATTTTGTAATCACATACTAATTGTTTTACTACGAGTAAAATTGAGTGCAATACGTTCAATGTTTTAGGCAAGAAAAGGAATTTTATGGCTCCAAAAGTTGCCTTACATCGTTGAGAATATTATTATATATTCAGGTTTGAGGCTAAAAGGATACAAATTTGGCCGGTTGTAGATAATTGCAGCTTAATTAAAACAAATAAGAAGTTAGAGGCCTTATTTAAATAATTTAATTGATGCAAAGAGACAAAAGCTAATAGAGGAAAACTCTTTTTTCTTTCTTATTGAAAGTAGAAAAAAATAATAATTTCTTACTTCTTTAATTTTGGAAAAAAAAAAAAACACAATAGATCCAGATCCAAATCCAAATCCTCTTCGTGTTCTTGAAATTAAACGTGAAAATTGACTATGTTTGTAAAATCTTATCCGCATCTTGAATTCAAATCAATTGTTAGATTTTATCTCAAATTCGAATAACTTTTCAAGTCATGTATTTGAATAACAATCCACTATTTAAGTATGAAATTTGAATTCAAAAATATGGATTTTACAAATGATTTATCATGTTTTCTAAGAACTTAAAAAGATTCGATCAAATCCCAAAAAATGAGCTACTTGACTTACCCTTAACAGTATATGAACCAAAAACTTAATATTTTAGTCTTCATTGTACGCTTAGAAGACATGAATCCAAGGACATACGCTAAAGTGCGAAATACAAGACTTATATATATATATATATAGTGAGGTTTTTTGAGATCAATTTTAACATCAATCAAAATTAAATTTATCTTTTTATGCGTTAAGCTAATGCTATATAACGTTTATCTTTTGGATGATTATTGGACTGTTTTTTAAACCAAATAAATCCAAGTATCGGTATGGTACAATTATGGATTATTTAAGGCTTTACTACTTGTATTAGTGATTCATACTTCCTTCATATGCCCTTTTCGAGGGTCACAATTAATTCATCTATATGATAAAATAACCACAAATCCCTTAGACATGCAAGCCATATGAAGAAGCATCAAAATTCACTCTTATTTTCCCATAAAATTAAGGCATTTTGCACCCCCAACTTTCCTTGAGACAAGTTTTCATGTGTATAGTATTTTCAAACCAACTTTGTCACAAATTTTGTTCCTTAAAACATCAACTAACAACACTACACATAACCTAGAAAATTTCACCGACCAAAAGATTTCCTTTGCTTTGCTTTTTCAAATTCAAAATAATGACTGGTGGCACCATACCAATGCCAACATGCCCTCTCTTCCAAGCTCTCTTTCTTAAGTCATAAATACAAATTGAAAGCTCAAGGGACCTCAGTGTGCTTTTTGCATTGTTTCTTTAAGCTTTAAATTTAATATGCTCACCTTCTTTTTGTTGTTGGGTTGGTAGTGAATTTATTGCTAACTTCTTCTAGCCTATACATCCTTTCTTCCATCTCTTTCTCTCTCTCAGACACAGACATATTAAGTAATGAATCACAATCTCAGTCTCAGAACATTTCTTTACCTTGCAGAAAACAAATCCCATTCTCTCTTCCTTCACTGCTTCTTTTCCCTACTTCTTGATCCTGCTTTGTTTATATGCAGTGTGTTTTTCCATTCACTTCAAAGCTTTCTTGAGGCCCTTAACTTTCTTGATGTTCATTTCACTTGAAACCATCTCTCTCTATTCTTTGATACTTGAGTATCATGTTTGTTGGAGCTATTTAGGGTTTTATGCTGCATGTGTTTGTGTTTTTTGTTTATTTACTAAATTCATTTATATATATTTTTTGTTGTTTATATATGCTTCCTCTTTGAATTATATAATTATATAAAGAACGGGATATTGGTCCGGTTCAACCAGAAAGTAATACTCCATAGTTAAGGAGTTTTATTGTTTGATTGAGCCGTGCCAATATCACGTACATTCACGTCCTTCCTCAGGAAAAATGGCTGCAGGTATGGTTCTTAATTCTGATCTATCTCTTCTCCAAGTTGTTTTCTTGTTTCTAATGTAATATCCTGTCTATATTTTTGTTGACAAGATAAGTTATTTTGCAATTTAAAATGCGAAGTGCTTGTTTATTATTTAACTTGCTATCATTCGGTGAAAAATTTCCTTTATCGTTTTTGTCTTTAACAATTGTTGTTTGTTTTTATTCGATGGAAGATTTCTATTTAGTACAACATCGATCTTACTTTGCTATCAGGGCCATGTTTCCATGCAGGAAATTAAATTAATTCAGCAAGACATTACTATTGTAAACTTGATTAACGAAACTTTGTACAAATTATGTATGTTTGGATATATGGTTTAATATAATCCTGTTGGATTTCCTGTTCTCTTCGGTTACCAATACATTTGCTTTATCTTTGGCTTTAAAGAAGTCATGATCATGGAGTAAGCAATTGATCTAATTAAAGTGATTTTTTTCTTTTTGATGGTAGGTAGGTAAGGACTAGAGCAGAAATTAATGATTTTGTGTAAAATGGCTTCCATTGAAAAGTTCCACCACTTTTTTGACAAAGTGGTATTATTAGGTAAGAAGATTCGATCTCCTTAATTGCTCTCTTCTCATCGTTTAAAAAAGCTCCAATCACAACAACTTTCCAAATGTGCAATCCCATAATAGCACAAATTGGAGAATTGCATTGCGTTTTTCCTCCCTTCTAACTCGTCTAAGAAAATCTAGGCTACCTATGTAAGAACCAATTGCATCGCATGCACGTAAACTAATCATGAATTAACGAAGAAACGGACCGTATTATCAAATTTTATTGATGGAAGAACTAAAATTATGTATCAAAATCAATTTCTTTATGTAATTAGAAATAATCACCGTTTTTTTATTGAAAAAAAATTACGACAAAAAGAGACAACAAACATCCGATAAACAACACCGTATATAGATCTGAATAGAAGATTAAGATCTATAGATACAAAAGAAAGAGAAAGGAAGGGCTGTCACATGAGAGTTAGCTTGATAGTTGGTAACTTGGTATTGTATAGGACACCTACCAATTGAGTGGACTCTGTGCATCCTTTTGAACATTTTTCTGAAAACTAAATCCTGATGGATACTTCTAGTCCAATCGGTAGTCACTCTAGGCTTTGAAAACGTGCCCTCCTATGCCATGAACTTGTTTTCTGCATTAAGACTTGGCATCATGGCTCATTCAATTTGGTTCTTATTGATTTGATGCTTTCTACTGCCTAGTTTCTCATTGTCGACAATGGGGTTAATGTATTTTTATATTCAGTTTCCTTAGTCAATATGATACGTAAGGATTTTTATCACTTTCTCTATCGCTATCTTCGTTAAATTTGAAGTCAAAAGCCAATTTTAATGATAACTGAGGCTCTTAACAGGGGTCAAAACGGAAGAAAATGTTGCATTCAACTGTTATATATTCTTGGTGATTGTGGGGTAGTGATGGACTTTGCTTTCTCCATCATGATCTTTGTTAGGTTATCAAACAAACAATGGTTGCTGACTTGCTGCTCTAGCCCGTAAATGCCTGATGGTTTCAAAGCTGAATCCCATCTTTTGACCTGGAAGCTGCACTGTGAAGATATTATGGTCTCACTCAGATCCTTAATGATCGACAGAATGGAGCTTAAGCATGAAAAGAAAAGGGATGTTAAAAAGTGAAAACCATTAGCAATCATGATGCAAGGAAAGGCTCGACAAAGATTTTCTCCTCTTATATATGTATTATATTATCGATAAAGCAAAAGCTGTCCATAAAGATTTTCTAAACTTATTTTTGCTATTGGTAGTCATGGCAGAGAGCCAACAGCCCTCCAACCATTCAAAGAATGATTGTTATTTTGTTACAGCAACTCCTTTGACTGTCTTACCACTATCTGGGGCTGGTCTCCTATGGAGAAGTGCCCCTAAAGCAGCAAGGGTTTCTATTCTTTCACTGCAACTCTATGATTTCTATTAGCATATTAGGTACATCTCTACAACCTACTTTCCCAAGTTGCCTTTCTGAGTTTGGAGAAATGGTGTCTGGTCTCTTAGAAGCTTGCATGCTCTAGAGCATTCACATCCTCACCACAAGTCTTGTGAACTTCCATCATTCTCTCAACGGACTTGCAAATCCCGCTACATTTCCAATCAAACGAAGCAGCACAAACACTGCCTAGCTGAGCCTTCCACTCACAATCTGCAGTAACGAATCACACACGGTTAACTCCAATATGCTATGTCCTCACTCTTAAAGTTAATCAATGTATGAAAGTAGGAAATTGCCTACCATTGACCCGAAAACCAAATAAAAGATATATAAACTTAATACGGCTAGCAATTTTAAATTTACCTGGAGGGGTACCGCAGCAGAGTCTCTTATCGTCAACATGCTCCACATCTAAGCCAATAAACCATGATCCCAGAGAAACATCCTCATTGATATATTTATGCAAGATGTGCCTGAAGATAAGATTAAAAGACAATTGAAGAGCATATTTAGCAAAAGAAAGTTCACAACCTATGATGCTTAGGAATCAAATGTGCAGAGTTAGAATTAGAACCCCTTTATCCAGTTTCTCGGTCGCAAACTGGATTAGCAATCAAATTCAGCTCAGTTAATCATTACTCATAAGAGACTTCAAATTTTTCTGTAAACCATATAACTTATATGACTAGAGTGGAGACTCACTGGTTTTCAGATATATAGGTTGCTAATTCCTTTGATACAGCATAAAGTTGTCCGGTAGCATGTCGGAAGTACTTGTTACCAGCTTCTCCAAATTTCCAATACTCTGGTTCGTAATATTTCACCCCCTGTTTCATGGGAAAACGAGAAACGATAGCTCACCACTGTTGAGGTAAGTCAAAAAGCTCAGACCATTCAGCTTACCTTTTAGAAAGTACAGGACCAGACTTCATACAACCAATGTAAGCACGAGGTTTCTTTCGGTGTCCAGCTAAGATTGTGCCCAGTGTTGCTGTATTAATTTCACAGTAGATGAACTCAATGAGATGGGAAAAATGGGATAAATATGGTACTTGGTAAATTCACGGGTACTCATCTATAAAAATTTTATATCATTTTCTCCAATTCTAAATATTTGTGTGTGCGCATGTGTGTGTGTGTGTGTGTGTGTGTGTGTGTGTGTGTGAGAGAGAGAGAGAGAGAGAGAGAGAATGCATACAAAATCTACAAATTAAACATGCAAGAAAGGATCAAAATTCCATTTACCTAAATTCACATGAACATCATCATCAACTTTGATATAAAAGTCTGCATCCCACAAAGCAACAGCAGTACTAAAGTAAGTCTTTGTCTTGGCTGATAATTCCAGGTAGGCCTCAACATGTTCCTGTTTAGATGTTATGAAAAATAACAAGCATATACCTATTAAATATTTCATTAGACCTGCTTTCAAACTGTCTGAAGTACAAAAGATGAATGTAATGGCTAAGTAATCAATAAAATGTAAAACCATTAAGACGAGAGCATCACCAGCCTCAGGAAATCTCCATGCACCATTTCCTCTGCTTCAATAGCTTTGTCAAGAATGCCACCAGCAGTTGAACTATGGAAAAAAACAAATTAATTAACATTTTTCCATACTCCACACCTATATGACGTACCGATATCTAGCATGAATAGTGAACATAGCAATCAAGGAGGTAACAAGCCCATGTTCATCCTTTTTACCTCCGTTTATCTCATAGAGCACTTGATTTTATACCTATCTTTCAAATGACATTGCAATTGTTTTATATACAAGTTTTTCAAATCTCTCTAGATTCCTTGCCATTTAAACAAGGTCTGTTTTCATCATTGCATCAGTTTTGAAATCTGTTTACTATGATATCATCAAATTTGTACTACCACTCAATGCTAGAGCCACAAACTATACATAGTCACAGTAGGAGAAAGGAAGGACGAGGTAGAACTTTTAAGAACATCAAGCATATCCCCAAACAACACTAGCTATAAAATAGGTATAAAATCTCACCTGTGACCTATAACGAAGCGTATGACTATACCCTTCTCCTTCTCCAACTTCTTTCTTTCCTCACCTAGTTAAGATTCGAAATATGAATTCATTAGTCATTCTTTAGCTGCAAATTGGCATCTGGAGTGGTATACAACTTTAAAAAGAATATGTCAAAAACAAATTTGGGCTCGGTCAATTCACCTTGTGGCATCCAAGTTGAACGAACTGAATCCCTCCGCTTCCGACTGCTAAAAGCTGTATTGATTCCAATTACCATAAAGTATTTTCTTTTCGAGTTTCCTGATGCAGTATCGCCACTCGACAAAGATTTCTGCTCTGCCTTAGCAGCTGCTAATTTCGTTTTTATACTTGAAATTTTACCATCTAGTGCACTGCATTCAGAATACAGCAATAGGATTTACATTTAGGTCAATGAAAGGGAAACAGCACCCTCGTATATGTGAAACTAAACATAACAGGTATCAGCCGAGCTTACCTGATATCATACTGAGTATCTGAAATTTGCCCTAGACTGTTATTGGATGTATGATTTTCAACATTCTGATAGAGGCAAAAGATTGAAGCAGTAATATAACCATCAAGTCAATGGCAATAGCATAATTGAAAAGCATGGCTAAATCTGATCATATGAAAGCCAACAGTGCAGAAAAAATGACTTGCAGAAACAACTACGTCGCAAATTCTAACATTTCCTTGACAAATATGACATCAGCTGTATAAACGAAAGTGTATGGACAGCAAAACTAACATGTCGCAAATTCTAACATTTCCTTGACAAATATGACATCAGCTGTATAAAAGAAAGTGTATGGACAGCAAAACTAACATGTAACAACGTTCTTCCACCATGTTTGCACTTACAAATCCAAAGTTACGTATATTTGAAGAAAACTGCTTTTGTAATACGATAATACATAGCTAAATTAAACAATTAAAAATTATTAATCCTAAGTAATTATTGATCAACACTGAAATATCGTGACTGGTGTGTCAGACTAAATGCTGGAAAATTTTCCTTCCAAATATTGACTACCAAGGTCTTAGAATAATAAGATGCATAAGACTGAGAATCAGGAACAAGGATCATAACGTTCTTCCATGGTACTTGTGATTACAAATAAAAAATTTAAACGTTACAAGCCAGGTCTATATTACATGAAAAAATTATTCATGGCCAAATCAAACATGAAAATTTTAGTTCTACAAATTTATTCATTGACCATCAAATAGTCATCCTTCATTCTGAATTTACTCCATGCCACATAGTTCAAATGTTTTACCTTATATGCACTTACAAGCTTCTGATTACAATCCTCAGATTCTAATTTTGTTCTTTCAGGCTCTGTCCAAATCCTGATACAAGATTTCTTTGTTAATATATATGACATAGCAATCACCTTGTAGGAAAAAAATTCCAACACCCAAAAAGAAAAACCTTCAAGATACTGCCAAATAAATAAATGAAGCTTGCTACCGATTGGCACCAACACTAGAGCAATATAGAATTATCAATTATGTGGCTCAAAACAACATAGAATAAAAATGTGAAATTTAAACCAGCCTACAACATAAGACATTAGTTTAAGTTTTGGCAAATAAAAAAGAAACGACAGCACACGTTTACAGCTTTCTGTTTCCGAGGTTAAGAAAGTGTCGGTGGAGACATGGTTGCCAAGAAAAACAAAAAAGATCAGAATGGCTACCATCTGATTTCACAATATCCAAAAATCAAGAACAGAAGAGTAAAGTACTGCACAATTTGTTCTAAAAATTCATGTTCAATGACAACACTTCAAATTAAAACTCCAAGAAATCAGTCAAAGAGCCTTACTTCAATAGCACACACCAATCAAGATGACCCTTTTCAATAACTCTCGAAAAAATTACATAGTTCTCAAAATTAATTGATACCAGTGGAGTTAAAATCCATCAAACCATCAAAGTTTACAACTTTGAAGAAAGCAATAAGAACCCATCAATCAAACTTACCTGTTAGTGAACAATATCCCAGCAAGGAAGCTACTAAAACAAAGCAAAAATGCCAAATTCCTTGACACTACTACATTTCTTGAACCCATCTCTCCTCCAACTCCCACTCTCCCCTTCGCTGACATTATTGTTCTACTATGCCACCTACACACAAAGAACCAAAAAGATTCAAACTTTATCAAAAACTAAGATTATAAACCAAATTTAGAAACAACCCAGAATTTGTTTTGGTTCAGAAAACAAACGTATGTACATGTGCTTATGTTTATGCAATGACACACTCTAATTCTCTCCCTCCTTAAAAGGAACAAGAGACCGAGAGAGAGAGAGAGAGGTGTGCAGTGAAAAATACAAACTGCCACTCTCCTTGTTATATATAGTCTCAAAAATTACTTAACCGTCCTCTTTATCATAGTTCCCGTTTGTCACCATTAATGTACTTTTGATGTTTTATGTTTCTAGACTACAATATCAATGCTTTTATAACAGTAACAGTTTCACTCTCATAGGGTTGTTCCATTCGTAGGTTTTGACTTGGTACTTGACTACTTGGCATTGTTAGGGTTAAAAATAGTTTTAGGTTCAATTAGGTGAGACCATATGGGTTTGGGTCTATGCCAAATTTGAAAAGGGTAAGTTATTTGTTGATCTTTACAATACACCCCCTGTCTAAAAGATTGTCCTTTGCTCTTCCTATCCTAAAAATATTGTGATCTTTGACTTTTCGTATAAATTAAGAAAGTTATTAATTATTATGTTATATCTGTAATTTTTATTTATATTTTTCTAAAATATCATTTTTGAGAATTATATTTAAAAATTTTTTTTACAAAATAGATTTTAATTTAGGGTATTTTAGAAAAATAATTATTTAAAATTTTGACCAGATAAGCATTTTTGAACAACTATACATAAAAAGATAGATAATCTTTTGGGACGGAAGAAGTATAATTTAAGCAATGTTCCATTTCAATCCTTTAAGTTTATAATTTTCCAATGTTTATAGTTTCCAAAAAGTTCTAATGTATCTTTTTTCTTTTTTTCTTTTTTTCTTTTTTTCCCACAGCAAAGGATATCTTTACATGTCAATCAAGATTAAGTTTCTTTATAGGATGATTTTTAAAGATGCTTGCATTGCTAGTGCATTCAGGATGATAAATTCTTCTTTATATATACCATAATGTTTGAACTCAAAAAATCGAGGGAGGGAACAAACCTTCTAATCCATCAGTACAACCCCTTGAATTATCTAATTAAATAGTCAATGAGAATCCATTTAAAAAAAAAACTTATTTTGAGATAATTAAAGTTTTTAAGACTGTTCATGGGATATTATCAAATGACAATTTGTCTTAATTTCATTTAAAATCTTTGGTTTGTTTTAATTAGACCTCATATATTTCATTTTTGTTCAAATTAACTTAGAGGTTTTTATTTTTTTGGAAAGCAATCTTAGAGAATATATATATTATTTTTTCATAAGTATCATTTTAAGTACTTAGTTAATTTGAACCAATGCAGTTTGATTGGTAGATAGAACAAATCCTTTTATTTTAATTGAGATTAAGAAAGTTATTAATTGCTAGATCATATATATCATTCATACTTTCTTAATATACCTTTTTGTAAGAATTGTATTTGAATATTTTTATTTTTATTTTTTTACAAAACAAATTTTAATTAGGGATGCTTTTAAAAAAGTGAATAACTTAATTTTTTGATTTGACAAATAATTTGAATACAAATAAAAAGATAAACAGTCTTTTTAAAACGAAAAGAGAATTTATTATACGATTTTAAATAGTGGAGATGTTTTCTTTCCGGCAACATTAATTCAGTTTCAGGCATGCTGGTTGCTTTAAAAGTTTTTTTTTTTTTCTCTAAATAAAATAAAGTTTCTATATTAAGTTTTTTTCTTTTCTTATAGCAAGTTTAGAGGTTTGTAATTCGGCATTTAATTGTTTTCTTTACTATGAATTCAACGAAAACTCTTTTTTTTTTTTTTTTTTAGAATGAATTTAATGAAAATTAACAGACGTGATTGGTTTTCTTTATTATGAATTCAATGAAAACTCACTAGGCCATTTACTTGGAAGAGAAGCAGGAAATTAACTATCTGGGCCATTTATTAATTATTTATGTGAATCAAATTAAGTCAACAAGTTTATAATTATCAAAAAAAGTTATATATATATAGTAAAACATCTTTGAATCAGCTTTTATATCAATTTAAATTAAGTCTACCACTTCTTGAATTAAATTAGCATCAGAATACATCTAATTATAATTGATCATTGGACTTTCTTTCAGACTAAAACAATCCAAATCTAGCACCAGTAAAAAGTAATTATGGCTAATTATTAGTAAATAATAAAAATTAAATTTTAATCTTGGTCAAACCAAAGCTTAACTGACATATTAATAATATTGTAATCTTTAACTTTTATAGAAATTAAGAAAGCTATTAATTGTTATGTTATATTTGTATTTTTTATTTATATTTTTTTGAAATATCATTTTTGAGAATTATATTCGTAAAATCTTTTACAAAATAGATTTTAATTAAGGGTATTTTAGAAAAAATAAATTATTTAAAATTTTGACCAGAGAAATATTTTGAAACAAATATAAATAAAAAGATAGAAAATCTTTTGGGATAGAAGAAGTATAATTTAAGCAATTTTCCATTTCAATCCTTCGATTAAGTTCGTAATTTTCCAATGTTTATAGTTTCCAAAAAGCTATAATATTGTATCTTTCTTTTTTGACAGCAAAGGATATATTTAAATGTCGACTAAGATCAAGTTTTCTTTCTATGATGATTTTAAAGATGTTTGCACTGCTAATGCATTCAGGATGATAAATTCTTCTTAGTATATACCATAATGTTTGAAATTGAAAAATCGAGAGAGGGAAAAAACCTCCTAATCTATCGGTCCAACCCTTTTAGTTATCTCATTAAATAGTTAATGAGAACCCATTTTTTAAATATTCTTATGAGATAATTAAAGTTTTTAAGACTATTGATGGGATATTATCAAATAACAATTTGTCTTCTTGAAGTTATATGTTGTCTTAATTTCATTAAAATCCTTCGGTTTATTTTAATTAGACCTCATAAGTTTTTTTTATATTCAAATTAACTTTCACATCTTTCACTTTTATTTCAATTTTTCTCGTACGTCCATATCCGTATGGTGTAAATTTCAATTTTATACTTGAAGTTTATAAAATATATCAATATCATCCAAAAAAATAAAAGCAACTAATTGAAATTAACAAAAATAAAAACAAAAAATCAATAGAATTTTTTTTTATTAAAACAAGTATGATAAAACTTGAGATGGATAATTTCTAAAGAAATCCTCAAATCTTATTAACTTCAACTCTCACTTAACAATATTCTCTCTCTCTCTCTCTCTTTTGTCAATATTGTACTTAAATGAAAATAAATATTTAAGTTAATTTAACTCTCTTTCTCTCTCTTTTTTTTTCCGTCAAAACCTTCACCATTTTGATTTCTCTTAGCTATCATCTCTTCTTCTTTCTTTGATGTTGTCTCCAATAGTATGTATGTTTGATATATATTTGCAAATAATGATGTCTTAGGTGATGTTGAAATTGTCTATACTCAAGCTACCATTCCATTCATGTAGATTTTAATTATTTTTTTGTTTTAGAAACTTTGTTAAAGATCTTAATGGAAAATTAGATAAAAAAGTATAAATATGATATGCTAGTTAGAGAATGTAGAAGAGTCAATAACATTGGTGACTGATTTTTTTATTCAAAATAATTCTTATCATATTTATTTTTAGTTTAATTTTATTCTTGTATTGTCAAAAGACAGCCGGATAATTTTGATGAATTTTTTTTTTGTCATACTTTTTCTTTAATGATTTTTTTAATTTTTTTCTTACCTTTTGGGTTATATTGAGATATTTTATAAATTTTAGAGATGAAATTAAAATTTAAACATATTAGAATAAAAATAAAAGATGCAGGGCTTAATTGAAACAAATCACAGATTTTAGCTAAAATTGAGAAAATATATAAACTTAAAGAAAAGCAAATGGAAAATTGCCCTATGTTTGGAAGGAAAATGAGAAAGAACAAGAAAAAGCAAGTAAAAAAATGGGCACTCCCTCGTATTCATTATGAATGTATTTATAATTTAATCATAAAATTAATACTTCTCTAACACTATATTGTTAACCTTTTTTTTTCTTTTTCTTTTTTTAATCTACGTGGGCTGAAATGTAACATTATTAAATCTATATGGACTTGAATTTAGTTTATCTGCTAGAAATTTTTTAATAGTGTAATTTCACTCAAAGCTTCTTTTCCAAAAATCTTCGTGATTCTTATAAATCCAACAATTGAGTTTTTTTTTTTTTTTTGGAAAGCAATCTTAGAGAATTTTAATATTTATACCAATGGAGTTTGATTGATTGATAGAACAACTCCTTTTGTTTTAATTGAGATTAAGAAAGTTGTTAATTGCTATACTATATCATTCACATTTTTCTAATATTTTTTAAGAATTGTATTATAATATTGTGTTACAAAATAAACTTCAATTAGAGATATTTTTTTTAAAAGCAAATCCCTTAAAGTTTTAATTAGACAAATAATTTGAGACAGATATAAATAGAAAGATAAATCAATATTTTAGAAACAAAAATAGTATTTGTTATATTATTTTAAACAATGGAGATGTTTTCGTTTGGGCAGCATTAATTCAGTTTCAAGCATGATCATTTCTTTAAAAGAAAAAAAATCTAGTAAAAGTAAAAGTTTATTTTTCTCTCTAAACAAAATAAAGTTTATATATTTAAGTTTTTTTTTCTTTTCTTGTAACAAGTTTAGAGGTTTGTAATTCGGCATTTAATTGGTCTTCTTTTACTATGAATTCAACGAAAACTTTTTTTTTAATTTATTTATAATGAATTTAATGAAAATTAATAGGCCTGATTGGTTTTCTTTATTATGAATTCAATGAAAACTTACTAGGCCATTTACTTGGAAGAGAAGCAGGAAACAATCTAAACCATTTATTAATTATTTATGTGCATCAAATTAAGTCAACAAGTTTATATATATTTTGACTTTAGTTTAAAATACATCTAATTTTAATTGATCGTTGGATTTTTTTAACTAAACCAGCTCAAACTTAGTACTGCTAAGAAATAATTATGGTTAATTATCTATAAAGAATACAAATTAAATTTTAATTTTGGCAGAACCAAAGCTTAAGTGACATATTAATAATATAATGAGCAACAAAAACAAAGTTGATTTGGATATTAAAAAAATTATGAAAAAGAAATTTGATTTGTAGAAGTGTAATATTGCTGGTTTGGTTTTGAAAGCAAATAATTTGACCACAGTTAAGGCTAGAATGAATTGGGCTGATTGCAAATATTTTGGCAAAATTGGCTGTGGGCTACCTCTTCTCCTCTCTAAAGCATTTTGCCTTTTTTGGAGTGGAAGTAATACATCCAACAGAACCATGACAAATGATGCAACGTGGGCTGTTTTTGTCTCAACTAGTTCATGTTTTAGCTGCAAAAAGAAACACATAACATGGTTTTAATAATAACTTCTTTTTTCTCTTTGTAGATTTATGATAAAAATTATTTTTAAGCCAATTTATATATTAATTCGATTAAATTCTTTCACAAAAGTTAAAATATTTTTTCATGTCGATCTAATGTATTAGTGGAATAAATTTTTCATGAATACTAATTTTGATATAAAAAGAAGAAGAAGATATTTTTTTGTCTTTTCCAGGTATTCCTATTCCATATTAGAGATATAATTAATCATGCGTTTAGAAAGAAAGTGATAAGATTTAATTTTTTTAACAAATATAATTCTAAAATTTGAATCCTGCACATTAGGTGAAAATTCTTCTAGAACCAGAAGAGAAAATTCTTAAAGAACCAGTTTGCTTACTAGTGGGCCAATAACTTAGTGGATCTCCAAAGTATCTTAGATTCAAAAACCCAAATTAATCATTTGTTGTTTTATCATATGCACAAGATGAATAGAATCATTTAAAAAGTTCTTTTTTTTTTTTGTATATACAAATATTTGAACATGATATAATTTATTTAAACGATTAGAACTTCTTATGCTCAAATTGACTTTTTTGGATAGGGGCTAACAACTTGTTAATAAAGAGAGTAAGATTTTAATGACTTCTGAAGTAACATAAGCACAAACTAGCATCTTCCATCTTTTTCTTTTTTGTCAGTGCATCTATGGAAAGATAGAATAAAAGGGCAATGATAATTTAGGATATTGTACTTTTTTGTAATAGAATATCCAATTGAACAAAAGGTTGAAGTTAAAGAGTTCTTTGATGAACTAAAAGGACAAATAATAAAGCACTTTTGCAACCCTACAGCTTTAGTTTGCCAATGTGTAAAGAAGAGAGCAATATCATAAGAGAGGAACAACCTCGAAGATAGAACTAATGATCATGAAGCAATATTGAGTGAAGATTACTGGTGAATTAAGACTCAAGGACCACTTACAATATTTATTTGTAAGCATTTGTGTGGATTCATGGATTGCGAAAAGGGTTTTTTTTTTTTTTTAGGTGGTCCTCGGAAGAATTGGAGGATGCTCGACATGTGAAAGCTAGAGGTGGGAAGTGAAAGGATTGGAGAATTTTCCAAAGAAAAATATTGATATTCATATTCATGTCAGCAAAAGGGGTAAAGACTTGTAAATGCATCTGGTGGAGCTGTGGGGATCTATGAATTATAAATCTTGTTGATATATTGTTCCAGATTTTGATAACATTATTAGCAAGAATCTGCCCAACAAGAACGAGCAGGACAATTCTCCTCTTCAACTTGATGTAGTCCCTTTTCTATCTCGAATTCTTTTCCAAACTGAGATAGAATGTTAAATGATATTACCATTGTTTTAAATCATTAATGTACGTGTAAAAACAATTACACTGACAATTATATATTATGATTTACTACAATAACAAAATAACAATCGCGACAATCGATATAGTATATATATTAACAGATTCTTAATAAATTTTTTCTAGTTCACATATTTTTAATAATTTTATTAATTAAGCATAATAATTAATAATATATCTAATAATTTAATATCATACAACAATAATTGAATTTCTTATAAAAAAATTAATAGTCCAAACAATAATAAAATACAAAAAAAATCAAATTTTTTCTAATATATGTCTATATTCATCAAATAAATAACATTACCTAATATAACAACATAATATAACAACAATTATTTAAAACTATGGATACTACTATCGTTTGCAATAACCTCCAAAATATGCATCGTGTTAATCGAAGGAAGCTTGTTTTCCATTTTCTCTTGGTTAATGACAAATATTGTACTCATGAGAAAAGAGAGTTCAAGCACTTGCATTTGCATGCCAAAATGTAAACACTATAGCTAGATCAGGAAGCTAAAACAATGTAGCTTGGACAGCAACAGCACAAACCAAAAAACTATATAAATCTTCTGGTAGGTCTGGCTAATAACATGAGGCCTAACCGGCTAAGAAGTTGAACAGTGGCTTGAATTCTTTATCTACGTTAGCTTGTGACAACTGGGAATATTTTATTCAAGTTTTTTCTTGGAAAGAAAAATCATTATTTCTTGCCATAATGAAGACTTAGTGGACTTAATTAATCATAAAATCTAAAGCACACTCCATGCTGTATTGTTCAGAACCACATCTTTCTGCAATTTGAAATTGCAAAACCATTAACATGGAAAGAGGATAGTGCCAAATTCTCTTTGTCAATGGACTGTTCGAAGGAGTTAAGGTTAAAACCAGGGAAGGTGAGTTGGTGCATTGCCCTAATCTTCCAACTCATAAAGCAAATGCAAGTAAATGAACAAATCAAAGTCATAAAGGAAACAAAAGCAAAAAATTAAGTAATAAGAGAAGGCATGAAACAGGTGTAAGGCATTAGCAGCCAAAAGCAAAGAGATATGAAGATTAAACTAATCCCTTTTCCATATCCTCTTACGATCTCACTACATTACTCAAAACACAAAATTCTACCAAGCTACCAGACAAAATCTCAGAGGCTGCCATTCTTTTTTTTTTTTTTTTTTTGCCCCCCATTTCTTCCTAGGGAGTAACTTATAAATTAGATCCTCACCACACAACAAAAAGGGCAGCTCTGACTTCTGCTTTTCTACTTCCTCCCTAGTACATAACATACCAAATTGGATTTGATAATTAATACAAGGAAGAACGAAGGAAAGAGTCCTCCAACATGGGACCATAGGACCCTCTTTTACAAAATGACAAAATTGATGATGATTTGATGGTAGTGATGAACAAGATAAACTGATGATTAGAGGGAGGAGATGGCAGTAAACTTTGTTTTGAATAGTGGTTTTAAGAACTCTTTTCGCTACTCTAAAAACCCAGTTTTTGTCAAAATAGCATTTCTTACTTTGCTAAGATCTCTCCCTTTGAGTGTCCTTCCAATCCCTTCACACACAGAGAAAGAAGAGATTTGACTCCTTGCTAGCTTCCTAGCTAACCATTCGTGTGGAGGCACTATGTCATCATCACCATCTTCATCATAATCGTTATCATTAACACCATTATTGACATGATCATCTCCATCATCATAAGCAATACCATTATGATCATCAGCCCATGAGCCCATAATATTTCTTGAATTTTTCCCATAAATTTTTGACCAATCAGGGATGTCCAAAGGAGCTGATGACTGCTGTTGAACTGCTTTTCCTCCATGGTTTGTTGCTGTTGGCTTTGTTGTTGGGATCATTCTTGGAGCAGTACTAGGGAGATGCCATGCAGAAGAAGAACCAGAAGAGGAGTACTTGGATTTAGAACTTGAATCTCCCATCTCCTTCATAACTGACCAAACATCTTGTTCTTCAAAATCTTCATCTCTCATTGATCTTCTACTATAGCCACCAACAGCGCTACTTCCCTTGCCCAAGACACCACACCAATCTGCCATAAGTACTGAAAAATGACAAAAAAGAGAATCAAAGTGAGTTCCTTTGAAATCAAAATAGAGAGGGGAGAGAGGACTTGAGCAAGAAATGAAGTTCACTTCAATGAATATAAATAAATGAAGTTACTATTAGTCAGTGCTCTCTTTTGTTTGGTTTTGTTAGCTTAGTAAGAAAGAGATAAAACAGAGTTTTTTGTATTGGGAATCAGAAAGAGAGAAAGTTGTGTAAGAGAATAATATCAGGAATCTACCTTGGCTATGTTTCAAAACCCTCCAAGTTTTTGAAAAGATAAACTAAAATGTGGTGACACTTAGAACTCAACTAGGACAAAAGAAGGGAACCTGTGGAAACACCTCTCCATTTCTCTGTGGCTAAAATAGGATAGATCCAAAGAAAGTCACAGACTCCAATGACATCAAACTTGTACAATACAACAACAGAAGGAAAGAAAAAGACAACAAAAGAAATGGTGCGAAGCTTTAATGGCCTATCAAAACCAAAATCCCGATATGGGAAAAACAATTTAAAGCAAAAGAACGTATAATGATGATGATGATGGGTTTTGATTAGAAATCTTAGTTGCCAACAGGAGTACTTTCTTTTGTAACCTCTTACCTGGAAATGGTCACTCTAAAAGTGGATTCAGTACCACAACTCCAAAAGCCCACAGAAACCAATAGCAGCCTGCCAGTACTGGAAGGTTGGTTTTTGTAGCTATAAGAGCAAACCCAATAGAACAAAAGTCATGTCAAATCCTAATCTACCATCTATGGCTAACATTAGTCGGTTCTTCAGAGGTTTCTTGATATGGGGTTCATATATATATATATATATATATAAACAATGAATGGGTATTTTTCTAAGAATAATTGTATTACAAATATATTAATTTTTTAAATTTTCTCAGTTAAATATATAAATTTTTATTTTTTTTGAGGAATTAATATTTTCAAAACAATCCATTAATTTTTTTATCTTATTTTTGTCGATTTGATGACATTTTATTGTTCAAACTATTAAATTATGTTTTTGTTAATTCGTTGTCTGAGGAAACTTTTCTATAAAATTATTTTGTCGCTTTCTACTTTTTGTAAAGTAAATGTCCAAATTTTCTTTACGTCTAAAAAAATAATAAAATAATTTGGAAATAAACGTTATTTTCAAAAATGAAATAATAAAAATTATAATTTAATAGTATAGGAAAAATGTTATATTATTAAAAATAGAGCAATAAAAAAAATTATTTTACCATTTTCTACTTTTTATATAGTAAAAGTTCAATTTTTCTTCATATTTAAAAAAAGTAATAAAATAATTTAGGAATAAAAGTCATTTTCAAGATTGAAATAACAAAAATCACAATTTAATTGCATGGGACAAATGATATAATAATCAAAACGGAGCAATCCACAAAAGTCGAACAAGTGAATGGTATAAAAATCAGACAATGACATATGCTATAATTGCTTTCATCGTTTATCTCATGCACATTCACGGTCAAATTAGTTTAGAAATTGATTGTAAAGAAAAAAATATTTAGTTAGAACAACGAGTGAAATAAATATTGTGAATACTAGCAAAACAAACCCCTCAAAACATAGCTAGTTTTTCGGCTTTTGACGTAAAATCGATATAAAATTCACCATTATTTCTTAATTATCAAACGAGATTTAAATTGGATCTACAGTTTGAAAAAAAAAAAAACTAAAAAACCAATATTTTCTTTAAAAATCAATAAAAATTAAATATTAATACAAGTGAAGTTGTCATTTTTTTTTTGTACACGATCCAGTAGAAAATCGAACCTTAGTATTTCAATAAAAAAAATAGTATTATGCATTTTCCTTATTGTAAGCAATGAAAGGGTGGATTTTGATAGGAAAAGATATAGAATTCACAAATTTTTTTTCAATTATCCAACGGATTTAAATTGGATTTGTTGTTCGAAAAGAGAAAAACTAAAAAAACCAATATTTTTTTCAAAAATCAAATAAAAATTAAATATCAATACAAGCCAAGTTGTCGTATTTTTTTATACACGATGTAACAAAAAATCAAACCTTAGTATTTCAATAAACAAACATATTATTATACATTTTTCATGTTATAAGCAATGAAAGGGTGTATTTTGATTGGGAAAGATAGCGAAAATCAATATAGAATTCACATTTTTTTTTAATTATCAAACAGATTTAAATTGAATTTGTAGCTCGAAAAGAAAAAAACTAAAAAAACCAATATTTTCTTCAAAAATCAAATATCAAGCGAAGTTGTCATATTTTTTTTGTACACGATCTCACAAAAAATCAAATCTTAGTATTTCAATAAACAAATATAGTATTATACATTTTCCATGTTGTAAGCAATGAAAGGGTGGATTTTGATTGGGAAAGATGGCGAAAATCAATATAGAATTCACAATTTTTTTTCTAATTATCAAACGGATTTAAATTGGATTTGTAGTTCGAAAAGAAAAAAAACAAAAAAAAACCAATATTTTCTTCAAAAATCGAATAAAAATTAAATATCAATAAAAGTAAAGTTTTAGTATTTTATTTTGTACAGGATCCGACAGAAAATCGAACCTTAGTATTTCGATAAGCAAATTTAGTATTATACATTTTCCTTGTTGTAAGCAATGAAAGGGTGGATCTTGATAGGGAAAGATGGCGAGAATTGGTTGGATAGAGCAGTGTCACAAACTTCAGGAAAACCTTATCCTCTCTAATTACTAAATGGTGGTGGTAGTACAACTCGTACTGCAATCTGATTAGGCAGTTTTTCTTACAGCTCAGTGGGCACCAGTAGGAGTATGAGAAAGCGTGAAGCTGGCAAGCAAGCTCTGCCTAGGAGGAAGGAATGGCTATAAAAGCATTTTTATTAGCAAAATTATTGCTTTTGTTGCATTGAGAAATGTGGTGAGCTGAGTTTTTTAACTGTGACTTATGCTTGTATCTATCCACTTCCATTCTTCAATGCTTCCTGGGTTTTGGGGATTACAGCAGATAGCATAATGCAGAGAGAGAGAGAGAGAGAGAGAGAGAGAGAGATTTATTGTAGTAGTTTTTTTTGGAGTAAGTTATCGTTTAGTCACTAGGTTTTGACCCTTATTACTACTTAGTCCTTCATGTTTCAATATGTATAACTTATTCCCTTGAGTTCACCTCTTCGTAATTAAGATATAGGCGTTTTTTAAAAGAAAAATAAGAATTTGAATTATAAATTTGACAATTTTAAATTCTTTAAGAAAAAACAAATCTAGGATTACTATCTTTTTTTAGGGGAAAAAAACCAAGTTTTTTGAGAAAATTGGATCAAATTGATCATCTTTCAAGATAGAGAGCTAATTTTCTGTTTTAGGAGAGTTAAGTTTGTATGGAAAAAATGATAAAAACTAACAAGCTGTTGAATAGTAGCAAACAATTGGTTTCTAGATGAATTTTTTGTTAATATACAAAATTCAAATTTTGGAATCACATTTATCGAGAAGAGTGAAATTTTATCTTTTCTGTTCCGAAAATGATTAATTTTATATTCAATGTGATAGAGATCCTTGAAAAAAAAAACAAAAAAAGAAGATAAAACACTTCATTTTTTATGGATAAAATGAGAGTTTCTAAGTAACAGGGTCTAAATATACTATATCAGTAATAAGAAGTTACATATTTTAAAAAATGAAGGATTAGGTTGTGATTATGTTCTTGATATAAGGAGTAGTTTTTGGTGTTTGAGTTTGTGGGGGCAGCAATTATGGTTAGGTCAGGATCAGGGAGGTGGGTAGAGTGAGGTGTCTTCTCAACTCAAATCAGAAGGGCCTGTTAGATAATGACCTAAGATAAACGTCTGGGTCAACGCCTTTATTTGGTTTCATTATGGGCAAAGATGTGAACATGAATTTTCCCATTCTAACTACAAATATTTACCGACACAAAGTTACCTGGTTCAACTCCAAAATCTACCCCATCCCTTCCTAGTATAATCTTTTTTACTGTTTCATTCTTGAACTTGAAAGATACTCTACGTGGAATTGCAAATAGTTCAAAGCATCCAAAGCCTAGTTATCTGTCTTGAGATAACTAGAAGTCTGGAATTTGATCTTACCATAAAGAAAGGAAACAAAAGAAGAAAAAAAAAAAAGAAGGAGGAGGAGGAGGAGGAGGAGGATGTTTTTAGCTCTATATATATATCATTTTTTTTTATATATATAATTAGAATATCTTCACCTCCGTTTTTTAGGTCGAGGTTTTATTAATCAGGTTTTAGATTTTTTTATTCGATAATAAGAATCAATAGATTGTATGGTTTGAAATTAAGTGCATTCATATATTTTTTCTTTTCATAATGAAAAATCATCTCCCGTCTTTTATTTTACATTTTTATATTTTATTTAGGTGCATTGTGTCATCTGAGATTGTTAAATATTATTATGATGGATATTAAATAATATGTGATTATTTTATCCAAACACGTAACAAATACGTTTCAATCGAAATAAAAAAAAATTACACCATCAATTTCTAATTCTTTAATTTTAAATGTTCATGCTTTTAATGTTTAGAATATCTTCACGTCAGTTTTTTAGAACCAAACATCATTTTTAACGACATAATCATGTTTTAGATTATTTTTTTATTCTTCGATAAAGATGGATAGTTTAATATATTCAAATTAAATGCATTCGTAAAACTTTTATTTTCATAATCTTCTAAAATCAAACTCAAAACAATACTTCAAGGAATAAAATAAGAGGTACTATGAATTATCAAAGTTACCATAGCTATCAAAGATGAAGGGTGTTACGAAACTAAGTAGGTATGGTCAACTTTAATTGTTTAGATTATCATTAAATGCAACGTGGCTATCGACTAATAAACATCATTCCTAATAATAGAGAATCTAAATCTAACTTTTATGAACAGTGGGAGCATTAGAGATCCCACTAATTAATTATGGTTATTGCATGAAACAAATTTTCGACAATTAATTAATTCTTGTACTAATCCATGTCTCCTTTCAGAAACAGTGCATTGTTGTCTTGTTCTAGATGCTTTTGTTTTTTGTTTTAAGATAATCTAGTTTCATGCTTTAATAAGAGAAAAATTTCTATCTTACTTCTCCAAGAATAATTAACAACACTTGTTTTGTAAGAGAAAAACAAACACAAAAATAGAAAGAACTAGAGAAAAAAATATAAGTGTAAATATTCTTATAACTTTTTCATGAATCTGGATGTGATTTTTTCTCTATTCTTTATGCCTCGCTTTCTTCTCAAAATAAGTTTATAGAGTAAATATTATTAGCTATTCTATACATATTTTAAAATTTCTATCAAGAAGATGTAGTCTTAGCCTATGATAAGGTTAAATAGATCAAATCTTTTCTAAACTTTAGCTCATTTGAAATTGAGGTTCTTGAACTTTTAATTTTTTTAAGATTTAGTTCATCCAACGATTTTCGGTTATAAGCCTTCTTCTAAAAAATTCAATTCTTGGTATTTTGAATCAAATTTTTATACACATGTTGGAAAAAAAAAAACCAATCTATTTAAAAAAAAAATCCTATAATTTTTTTAAAATAAAAAACTCTATTTGTTTTTTTTTTTTTAACATTAAAAATAGAAAATAACTCGGAATGATTTCAAATTTTTTGAAGAGCCTCGTATAAATCTCATCGAATGATTTTTTATAATTGAGCTATTTCTGTTATTGTTATTTTTAGAATAAATGATAGAAAGCCAAAAGATGTATTAAATCTAAAACAATAAAAAATCAAAGATTCCAAATATCGAATTTAAAACTTAAGAACTCAATTTTAAATAAGTTAGCATTCAGGAAAAGTTTGACTTACAAATGAACTGTCAGGATATGATTCTTTTTATTTAACAAGAAGCTAAAAAGTACAAGGTTGAACCTAATTTTAGAATCTATACCATCTATTTGTTATAAATTCGTTAATGTGAATATTGATGATTCACTTAAAATGCAACTTAAAAAACTTACTTCCTCAATCTAAAAATATTGTCATGTTTGACTTTTATATCAAAAACATCATTATATCATTAATTGATTTATCATATTTTGATGTTTATCCATAATTTTCAAATATACTTCTTTTTTATTGTAAATTATTTGCCAATTAGATTTACTCATGGTTATTGTAAAAAAATACACGACTTAAATGTTTTGACTAGAAAATCATTTTAGAACAAATAAAAATAGAAAATAAGACAATCTCCTTGAAAAGAAATGAGTAAATTTTATGTGCAAAAAATAGCAATTGGTAATAATTTTTTTAAAAAAATTTAACAAGACAATTTTTTTTTTTAAAAAAGAGTAACCTTTATGTGCAAAACATATTAATTGACAATAATTTTTTTTAAAAAAGATTTACTTAAGCGCATTGTAATAAAATACGTTACTTAAGTGCTTTGACAAATAATTATTTGAGACAAACAAAAATAAAAAGTATGACAATTTGTTTGAAACGAAATAGTATTTTTATGTGCAAAAAAAATTTAGGAAAAAAAATAGCAAAGTGAAAAAGGTGTGGCTGCTGGGATTCGAGCCCAGGTCTCCACGGCCACAACGTGGAATTCTTACCACTAAACTACAGCCACTGTATTGCTCAATGCTTTAAATATTATTATAAAACACATTGCAAAGCAATATTAAAAATTTCCTTTCTAACTACATAGGACATTTTTCGCATGAAATATAAGGGATAAGTTTGATAGTTAAGAAGGTATTCTTTTTATTTCGCGAGTTTAAATCTTAAATCTATTTTTTTTTATAGAAATTTAATTTTTTGAATATACGAATCCAATGTAAAAAGGACGTAAAGATAATTTCGATTAATATGCAAACCAACCAAAAAAAAAAAAAGGTTGTATGAAATTTATAATATAATACTATTTATTGCTCTGAATAACCATATAAGAAGCAAATGATAGGATGCTCGAATATCTTGTCAAGAATGTTCTAGTTAGTGTCCTAAGCCATGGAATCATTTGTATACCATTTATCTCCTAAGCCAACTTGAATTTCTCATCATTTCTGTATGAAAAAAAAAAAAAATTCAATTATTTTTTTTTCTCAATCAAGGAGTTCTTGTCAAGTATAATTTACAAGTTTTAGCACCTTGAGATTTAAAGTCAGATAATTATTAATCACAACATAAGATGCTTGACTTATTGGCATTATGAGCTGAATACCTAATTATGTGTGGGATCCAAGTAAGAGACTTCAATGGACAATAATCAACTTATCAAAAGCTCGTCAATCATTGTACAAAAGAATCAATTTCCTACCATCCAAAAGGATCCAGCCACTTAATTGACTAATAAGTCTTGATGATAAGATAAGCAGACCACACATTAATTCCCTTTTCATTTCCTGCTTTTTCCATGGGATCATTAGTGGATTCTTAAAATCCATGATCATAAATTGGTGGGAGTTAATCTGATATTCAAGAGATAATCAAGAGAGTGCTATGTTTCTTCGTTGGTGATTAACTATTATGATTCGAATCTAAGGTCAATGTCGTGCAAAAGCAAAATTCTCATGAATCTTTTAATTCTGAGATTAATGAAACATATAGATTTTGTTTAGAGGATACAGATTTAATTTCGATATACGAAAACTGATTCGAATTCAATATACGAAAACTGATTCGAAAACTGATTCAAAAACACTCTTGATTCTTCTTTTTGTTTCAGTCCACTACCACCCTACAGCCCACAGGCAAGCCACAAAAGCGATCATCCCCACCAACTGTGGTCTCTACAATGCCAGTCAAAGACGAAGCAAATTTGGTGGCTAATATGGCAAACTCGGTGACCAGTTTATATGGCAACTTGTATTTGGTAATTGGGGCCATTTTTGGGAGGGTATGAAACAACAATCGATTTCTTCAAGCTGTCAACAGTGACATTCAATCTCGACAGTTACATATCGAAAGGGGAAGTATGAACCATGGACTTTCCTAGAAGAAATGTTGAGCAGGTACTTTTCATGTGAAAGAGATGCATTCGCCAGCACAGGCTACATGGCTCTTAATTTCAAACCTTTAACTGCAAAATCTTCTTTCCCATAAATGAAATTATATGGTTTGTATGATGTGTCAATTGTCTTGATTAAATGCAGAAAAAAGAAGCATCACAAGTCAAGAAATCGAAACCGAGTGACAATGGATGGGTTAGGGTTCGCTAACGACAAACTACTCAGGCCAAAACCAAAGCATGCATGACGAATTTCGATTCCCATTTCCGATTTGTTTTTGCCCCTCTCAATTTTGGAAAAAGGAAGCCTTAGCCCCTTTTGGAGATATGAATCATTGAATGAAGATAAATTATAGTGTAACCTATGGTTTTGTGATACACAAAAAATGGACGATCCATTTTGAGCTCTAACACTGATATCATCTAGCATATTATTTGGAGCGGGCAACTTATGTGCAAGTAATTATGCTGTGGAATGATTAAAAAAAAAAAACAAAAAACAAAAGTAAGGTGTGCCACTAAACCTGTACAAACTATGGTAATGGATTGAGTTGCACATTGCCCTCTTGGCCAAAATAGTTTCTTGTTTTCACTTACGTGCTGAATGGTAAAGCTCCAAGTAATCAAGAGCGGGCTTATTCCAAGACCAGTCTTGCTCCATCACTTTTTTACATAACGAGTTAAACCAATCCCGACCATCATACCAAGCAGAGATTGCCCTGAAAGATTCAGTGGAAAATAAATATTACTGAAGAAAACACATCCAGTAGACAAGCTTGGATACGCATGAACATGCAAGTGACAAAGGGTGAGAGATTAGTGTCATTCAAACGTTTTACAGAGTCCCCGTAAACTCAAATCATTTGTTCTTCACGTGTTCAATAATCAAGATAAAGTTACAGTACAAAACATATGATGGAAAAAGAAGTTTTCCACTATGAGTAAATTTATTGAAATTAACCAAAAGAATTGTTCATTGGTTTGCTTATGCACTCCAGGCACAACTCATCAGTAGCAGATGGAAATGTCACCAATGACACCTTCATATTAAGATTATCCCAGGACAGAAACTAGAAACAATAGCTAATTATGTGTTCATGTTTGTAGGTGTTAAATGCCACCAATGATATCCTCATATTCAAGATTTTGTCATGGGAAAAAATGGAAACAATACTCAAGCGTGAGTGTATTTAAACATGCATTTCACTAAAGAAGATAAACATCCACGCACCTATTTAGAGCATAATCAACACCAGCAGGATCAGCTCCATCAAAGCTAAATCCATTTGGTTCAAGACCTTGTGCTTCAGCTCTTTCTTTGTCATGGTCAACATCAAACACAGTGTCGAAAAGTCCTAAAGAAAATATAGCATGAAAACGGATTACTTAGCATACTATAATTGCTAATGCTAACTTGAGAAGTGCATCAGAAAACTTGTAAACATTACTCTTGTCAGGAAGCACCAGAGTCCCAAGGCATTTGATTAGGAAAGTAGAAATTAATTTCAAGTCTAGCAGATGCCAAAAAAAGCAGTGAGAAGTATCAAAGAGCTAGTGACACTTCCCTCCACCTAAACCCCTCATCCCTGTTACTAGTGATAATAATAAAAAACATCACAGTTCTCTCTCTCTCTCTCTCTCTCTCTTCCCGGCCCCCCTGTAGGTGCAATAACAAGCCGGTGGTCAACATACACACCACAAAGTGGGTCCAGAAAAAGTTCGAAATAGAAATTCTAATTATATTTAAAGAATAATTTAATGGTTTTTTTCCCCTTTTCTTTGAAAAAAGAACCAACATAAGGTGAGATATTTTCTCAATGCAAAAGAAAGATAGGAGTACCTCCAGTTTTTCGAACAACAGCTATAGAACCATATCTCATAGCAGTAAGTTGGGTCAGTCCACAAGGCTCAAAAAGCGATGGGACTAGAATGAAATCGGCACCCGCATATATCTACCAAAAAAAAAAAAAAAAAGAAGATTTTCCTGGTCAAATTGCAAAAGGCAGAGGTATTTATGCATTGAAATAAAAATTGAATGAGAAGTTTCAGGAGAATACCAAGTGTGAAAGAGGCTCGTCATAATTCAAACAAAGGCGGGCACGGTCATGGTGGCTAGAATGCAAGTGGTTGGCCAAATTCACAAAATCATTCTGGATACGGGGATCTGGAGCTGAGCCAAGCAATACAACCTACACACAAATTTCATTAGCTTCGCAGCAACGGTAAGATATTATTTTGCTTACATATGCACTCATTCAAACCTGCAGATGACTTGGCCCTACTAATGGACTTCCTAGTTCTTATGTTGGCATTCAGATCTTAACTGTAATGATATTATTGCTGATTCACAGTTAGAAAAACATAAGGAAAGAGAGCAGATAGGAAAGTCGAGGGTAGTGGGAGATGCATCAACCAGATTACATAGCAGTCAGGATGCTTCAGGCCACTCTGTGCTGAAAGGAAACCTAGATGGATTACAGTACTTGTGACTTTCATTTTAAAGAAGTGATGGTCAAGTGTTGAGATCATGTCCTAATTAAAGAAGTCTACATTGCCTAACAGGAAATTGGCCAAATTTTCAACTGTTAACGATCCAATAACTACGCAATATTCTGCAAAGGAATAGCTCCCATTTAAAGCAAAAAAGTTGCATGAATTTAATGGTCTTTCATTATGAAATTCTATGCTACTATTCAAGAGACATGTTATTGTCTTGGTGTGTCTAGACCAGCCAACGGAACCAAAGCATCTGCTGCTAGCATTGCACTTGAATGATTGGAAAATAACAGGCAGAGATTTGGAGATTTGTTGAAAAGCAGTCCTATGTGATGATAAATTATCCACAACAGGAAGATAATTTGAGAAACAGGAAAACTGATTGAAAAAAGAACCTGCCCATTGCGCTCTAAGGTGCGCCAAATTGCATGCTTGATGAGATGGATTCCCTTTTGATGTGTCAAGCGAGTAATAATTCCCACCAGCGGAAGATCAGCCTTTTTCAAACCAAGCCTTTGTTGCAAAGCCTCCTTGGCAGCTCTTTTTCCTTCAACAACATTCTCGGAAGTGTAAGGAACCTGGAATAGCAGATATTAGCCACAACTGCTTGGCAGAAGCAATCTGAATCTCCAAAGGAAATTACATATTAAAAAAAAAAAAGAGTTCCAATCTTGAAAGTAATCAGGAAAGCTACGCATAAAGTTTCCATCAAAATGGCAAACCCTCAATGTTTGCATATGCATCAGAGACAAATAATGCCAATTGCATTTCAGAATGGACTCCAAATGGCAATCTACGACCACACCTAGTCATGTGATTCACAGGGCCAATCTTTCATTTTACTTCTAATGCACACAGATTATGCATCCATTTAGCAGGTTGCAAGTGCTGATTCATAGAAGATGGAACATACTAGGAAGCAGTTATAGCTCAAGGACTTCAACTCAAGAACTGTCGGTCCAAGAAAAATTCAAAATGATATGGTAATCCACTTACAGGGATGAATTTATCATTATAAGGGTCCCATATATCAGGGTCAATTCCATTTAGTATGCCATGGAACTTGTGGAGATGAGAAGCAATTACAGGATTTCCAGAAATCTCCCTTGAATAAGTGGGCGATACCTGCAGATACAACAATGAAAGAAACCTCAGGTACTACTACAGAAAGCATAAAAGAGTAAAACTAATATAAAAGATCACATGTCAGCTTCCTTTTTGTTGATACAGACAATCATATTTTGAGATATTGGTAGCTGAACAAGTAATGTGATTTTCAACAGAACTCGAGAAAAAGAGAAAACAGAGAAATCAGGTAGAAAATAAACCCCATAATCTAAATGTAAATGAATGATCTGGATCTAACTGAGCAAAAAGCAGAGGTCAGGAGCAATGTAGGAACAAAGGAAGCAGTTACGACTTACAACTGCTTTGATTAAGCAGGTGGCTCAGAAAGAGAACCATCAAAATACGTATAGCTGGTTGAAAATTACAAAACTATAATTACTTACAGTTGTAGCCTTGTCAGAATATTGCATAGCTTTCCCAATGTTGTTCACCCCAAATTCAAGATTATGAATGGTGAAGACTACCCGGGTTTTACTAAGACCATAGTGCATATAATGGTCCTTAAACAACCATGCAACTGGAGCGCTAGACCAATCATGGCAATGGATAATATCCTGGAAGCATAAAGCAATGATTAATACATATGTCTTAGAAAGGAAAAAAACAATTGGATTCAATGAGCATATTCAGGAGGGGGCTGGTAATGTAGTAGGATAGATGTCATAGATTACAATCATTTTTACAACCCAGCTCAACCAGTGGAAAAAGCTGTTTTTGAAAGTTGGGCATGGAGAATAACTTCCTGAAATTCATTCTTTCACACATAATTAACAGTGTTTTTCCTGTCATAATGTTTTTATGTGTGGGACTTTATTAGGGTGTAGCCAATGGATGACATCATAACCTCATTATGTATGTCTCCTAACCATTTCGGTTGCTGAATTACTACAAGACTATTACACGAATCAACACATATTATCACCCATGCAGAAGAGAAATATTCCAACAACCAGTAACCATTCTAACAAGACAACAACTGCTTGATGCTGGATCAAATCATTAAACTTACAGGATGAAATCCGCCTTGTTGTAAAAATTCAAGGGCTGCATGGCAAAAGAAACCAAACCTCTCCCCATCATTCTTGCAGCCATATATGCAACCCGCCGAAAACATTCTGCAAGAAAATAATGCATCAAGAAATCTCATCAGACATTTTGTTATACAAAGTGATAAGCATGATGAAATTATATGCATAAGCAGGCAACACTTTGAGGGTGCAGTAGAGCACAAAATTACCCATTCTGAGGCTCCAAGAAGTAGACAGAAAGGCCTTCCACCTTCCCAAACCAAACTTTTATTTCAGTCCCACCCCAGGAATAGCTTCTCTGGCAGTGCAAGTCTTTCACCTGATTAAAAGAGCGGGTTTAAGAATTAGTCAGATAAATAGAAGCAATGATCTGTCTTCCAGATACACAAGATGCAAAATCTACCGTATAACATAATTTTAATTCTTATAGGATAAATCAATTTTCCTATTGGGAGAGCCGCATGATCCCGTAATAGTTGATTATGAGAAAGAAACAATGTTTAATAACATATATAGTAGTTCGGCGCATGCAAGCATTGGTAAGTGCTATATTATAATAATTATTATTATTTGAGGATTCAATAAGACAAAATCTTCAATCAATGGTGCCAACAGAGAGGAGAAACATATAAAAATCAAGAAGCAACAGCAGCAAAGAGCTTACATGGTTAAATTTCAAACAGTCATACTTTGGAAGAATGATGTCCACACTGTGGTTTAAATCTTGAACTGCACGGGATAGACTAGTCACAACATCACCAAGGCCACCAACCTGCAAGAGATTTACCACTCCATAGGTGTGATAGTAAAATAACAAGTTGCTCAATGGTATAATTTAGCCAACGGAATGCAAATAAGGGTTAATTAATTAAGGACTTAACTTATCATCCGTCTGTCCTACAATGTTATGCTAGAACACAAGACACTGTCCATGATACCAATTCTACTTGTAGAAAAATGATTGCCAAAGACCACTAATACTAATCATTGCAGTACTTTTAAGGGAAAATAAAATTAGATCTTGCTTCTTACTTAAAAGTATGTCTTTCATTTGAAAACATAACCAATTTCACATCAGCATCAAATTGTGGTTCTTGTTCAGTTAGAAAATATTACTTTCAAAATTTTCTCAATCAACAACAGCTGTTTAATTATTTCAAAATTTCGTCAATCTTAAACCCCTTTATTTCGATTTACAGATAAATGTAGCTTTATCTACAAGCATTAGGTGTAGAAATCAGTTCTCCCAAGCACTCTTCACTCAGCAGGCACATGGATCTGACCCTTATTATTAATTCTCACTCTATGTGCTAGCAAAATAAGTTTTGATTGGTAATAGAAAGGCAATGAGGAAAAACAATAGGTGGTCATTTAAGCCCATGCCAACTGCAATGGTTATCCTCTGTAGCATAATTAATGAGTGACCACTGAAATCCTGATAATAACAAAATTTAAAAGGGTAAAATTACAATAATCCCTTTGAGGTATTATGAAATCAGAGAGACTGACCAAAAGTTTGAAGATTTGACAAAATCTCCCTCTAAGTTTAAGAAATATTACATCATCCTTCTTTTGTAACCAGAATACCCTGAATTACTATTTTAAAAAGATGCTTAGATTAATAAATTAAAAATTGGAGAAAGAATATAAAAAACACGGGAAATGATTTTTTTTAGTGCATGAACAATATTAATTTTACCATTTAATTTCATTCAATTTTGTTTCGAGTTTCCGTTTTAATATTCTTTCTCTAATTTTTAAAATTTCTTAATTTAACTATTGTTTTTTAAAAAAGTAATTAAGGGCATTTTGGGTACAATAGTTTTTTTTTTTTGGGTCAAATCTTCAAACTTATGGGCGGTTCCTATAATTTCATGATACCTCAAGGAAGTTATCATAATTACCCAATTTAAAATGATAAAAATACAGAAGCCTGCAAGGGGAAAATATCTATGCCAAATAAGCATTGATTAGTGATGCCAACAAGCATATTTATGTGTGTGGCATGGCTTATTCACACACACACACAAGCCATTCAAAATTATGCATTAAAGTTACCTTTGCAATTGGGGCCATTTCGACAGCAATATGCACAATGTGCATTGGTGGCTCTTTTGCAATTCCTCCGGACACTGGTATGTGATAATCCATGCCTTCTCTATTGTCAAAAATTCCACCATCTTCCTTCTCAGAGAATACAAAATCCATCATGTATGCATCCAGAGGAACCTTGACTGCAAAAACACACAAAATGAAACCTTTTTTCCCGAACAAACCCACAACATCATTTGTAAACTATGTTGTTTTTCTTAGTCAGCAGGAAACAAAAGCTAGCAATCAGTACTGACATGATATGCCATCATGCTCTACACCTTTAAAGTTGCAGGCAGATGATTGACTTGCCTATGTAAGGGATAATGAGATAAAATGTATGCTGAAAAGAAATTCCTTGGCATTGGATAAGAATGAAACTGAACACAATTCATGCCATCTGTGAGCTGTATGATGCTGTTCATGATGTCCATGACAAGAAAAATCCAGAGTGAGGTATCGACAACAAAGATGATACAGACACCAAAACATGAATGCTATAGTCACATAGATAAGCCATAATATTAAATGGAAGGAGAGTACTAAATACATAAAGAAAATTAAGAACTAGCACATAAAAAAGAACAAAGAATAAAAGCGAGAACTAAAAGCTTACTGTTGGCTTTGACACGAGAGCCATTATCTGCAGGCAACATTTTCTGAGGTGGCAATGGACCTCTACGGTGAGTCCAACGGTTGAATGAACATCTGAACCAAACTTCAGGTTTACCATTTAGAACAGTGTTGGCAGGATTATAGAAAACTGTCACGGTGCTTCCAGCCTGAACATCAAGAGGCTCCGTATAAACTATATGTTTTTGTGACAGCAGAAACCTTGTCAAAGATCTTTCCTTTGTTTCAGCTTTCATACGTGCTGTTTTCTCAGCCTGAGACAAGAGAGAGCATAGAGGCAGTAGGATTTAGCAGAGTTGAAATTCAGAAAATTACACCAAGACAAGATCAACTCTTCATGAATTCTAACTAAAAATAAATCCAGAGGAGGATGCAGCAAAGATACCCTCTTTTAACTGTTAAAGAATTCCACAAATGCAACTTGTTAAGAAGATTACAACACTCAGAGTGACCAGCAGACAGAAAGTTACGTGGCCGTTCTCTGTGTTCAGTATGTGAGCCAAGGCTACTAGCAGACCACAAACTATTTGGTACAAATTTCAGCTATGCTTGTGCTGTGTATGATTCAAAGATAACCAATCATGCTTTTACAAGTAACGAAGCACAAAATCTTGATCCTCGTATTCTAATTCTAGTCACTTTGAATGTAGCATCACATCAACTGACCTTTGCACGGATAGCCTCCTCTCTTAACCTCCTCTCTTCCTGTAGTTTCCTATATATTCGATGTTCTTCGTCAACCCAATACAATTCTTCAGGAATACTATTTGGGACAATCACATGGAAGTCTTGGCGATGATTGTTATCATACACAGTGGCCCTCTGAGGTTGACCATTAGCAAAGACCCAATCCAAGATGATGGCTTGATCAGGTACACCAACTGCAAAAGACATAGTTGCGGAAAAAATTATTATGATTCAGCAAAAATAAACCAAGAAGAAGAAACCATGTAAAGCAAGTACAGACACTCTTCTTAAGACATAGGTGCCATTCTTCTTGTGCTAGTTTTAAAATGGTGCATCCAGGTCCACCAAAGGAGATGCAGAGAAGAATCAAACAGTAATAATTCATAAAAGAAGAATTTAGACCTTTTCAATTTATTAAAAATAAATAGCATTGCCATTTCATCTTCCTTCAACTATTTCTAAAAGGTACCAAATCAGATTAAAATTTCATGATAATCAAAAAGAAATTGCTTATGCAACCATAAGGCTCAATAGACATTGTAAAAAGAAAAATGCACCATTGCTTGATCGAAGAAGATCTAAATTCAAACATACCATTAGCATACCACCAGTCACCATCTTTTCTATCAGAGCTGACAAGCCTCTCAACAATGGACAATCCATCCTTCCAATTATTATGCCCCCCATGAATCCAAAGGTCATTAGCATGGGCTAGAGGACCTGAGCTTTTGTTATAATATAACTTGATTATGTCCCCACATTTGAACTCACTAGGTTCTATGTACCAAACTTTATCAACGGACCTTGCGGCCTTTTTCATCAGTTCTTGCAATGTTCCTCTCCTTCTTTCAGTTTCTGCTCTTGCCTGTGCTCTATCAGCTTCACTTGCAGCCTTCTCTGCTTCTCTTCGCCTCTGTTCTTCTGCTAGTCTTTCCTTCTCAGCTTGCTCCTTCGCAAGTTTCTCCAGTTCCAGACGTTTTTCCTCAAGCAAGAAATCATCAAATGCAAATGCATCCATTCCACCTTCCACAAGTATGCAGAAATCATTTTTGTTGTTATTGTCATAGACATCTTGCCCATTGAAGAACACAAAGTCCATCTTATATGATTCTTTTGGAACATGAACCTGGCAAGACCACCAATCCCCATTGAGATGGGTCTTGTTCAACCTAAAGGTAAACGATTTCCATCTCCAGTCATTAAATGCTCCCATAATCAAAACATCTGACTCGTCTCTCAGGGTTGATAGACTCCTATTAAAGAACACTTCTATGTCTTGATCAGGTTTCACCACCTGAGGATAAACAAACAATTTGTTACCATTAGCAAAGTTTTCCTCAGCAAGCCTCTCAATTTCTTGTTTATGCAATTTTTCTTCCATTTCCAACTTTAATTTTTTTTGTAAAGAATCATCTTCAGTCGTTTTCTCATTAGTCGCAATTCTCTCCTTTTTTACAATACCATCGGTCTCCAATTCATCAAAGTGGCTTTCCTCTACAGCAATTTTATCCTCTGGCAGAGTCACATCCTTACCAACTCTACTGATACTTCCATTTTCTACCACTTGATTACTTTCAGCAACAGCCACCGTTTTACTCATCAAAGATACTTCCTCTACTATCTTTTCTTCATTACCTTTCTTCTCCTCAGGAAGTTCAATTGCCAGTTCTTCATCCTTATCATCTTCTATTTCTAGTGTTTGCTTGCTAGACTCTGCAATCTCACTTGATTTTGGAGTAACTGAACCCTCTTTCTCTCCATTTTTTTTTAAATCTCTCTTGGGGGCGCTTGTTCCAACTGGTACTTTCGGCGTGAATCCCTTTGGGGAAGAGCCTCTAGGCCTGGCAGTAGATATTTTTCTGGGCCTCCTCTTAGAAAAATCTGCATATAAATGCAGTTCAAATTCAAAACTGTACAAAATTAATCAATAAGAATTTAAATCCTAAATCACAATCTCATATCATATTTTCTTTTACATATAAAATTCCCCCGCGCCCCCCCACACACAAAAAAAAAGCAACTAACCTGCAGCTGCAGTGATTCGAAATGAAACCCCTCTTGCTGGAAACTCCTTGCCCCATGAATTAGGCTAAAACCAAACACAACAAATTAAAAAATTCAGTATCCAATAGACTCATATCAAGCAATTCTCAGTCACAAATTCAAAATTATAATCACTGTCACCACACAACAAGAAAAAGCCAATGGTATCCCAATAATTAACAACAAAAATTACAAACAGAAACAAAACCAATCAAAAACCAACAAAGCAAAATCCTTTAAACTAGTATCAATAATCATCATTAAACATGAACATCCAACTAAAAAGCTCACATTTTTCAATCAGAATCAACAAAACCAATAACAATTCAATCAAAACAAACACATGACGCACTAAAAAACAAGAACTAAACGGGTCCATGAATCATTTTAGAGTAACAAAGACACTTACACTTGAAACCTGTCCACTTCTGACATGAGGGGGAGACCCAACAAGAAAAGGTTTAATCTTTAAACCATTTCTTTCATTAAAAACAACCCTTCTACTACAACTCACTGGTGTTTGTACTTGCAAAGCCACTTCCATGGCCTTCTATTTTTAGAAACAACACAGAATGTTTGTGCGTGAGCAAAACCCACTTCAAAGTTTCAATCTCTCACTCCAAAACTGAAGTTATAGTTGCTAATCCATTGATCAAGACTCAAATCCTTTCTATTCTTTTAATAAAATCATGCATGTTCCTATAACTATTTAAATATTTAAAAGAAAAAAAAAAAAACACTCTCTGATAAAGAGTCCTTTAAAAGTCCTAGCATCTCAGCCATAGCCCACATGTGTTAAAACCGTCACTCTGTATCTCCAAAATAGGCATCTAAAACGTGGGCTATTTTGGACTGTTGATTGATGAGAAAAATGGGTCAATGATGGATTGATGGTGGAGATAGGTTAGATGACAGGGTTTATTGTGGGGTTGGATGTGGTGAAGTGATGCTAGAGATAATTTAAAAATTTTTGGGAAAATAGTTTTTTTGAAATAGGCTTTTGAGAGGCTGGTAGTTTATGATAGGCTTAGATCATTCGAGAATCGAAACAAGAATTGACTCAACGAATGGAGACATGCCATGTTGGTTGCTCACTTTTTGACTCAACTATGGTTTCGTGGTTTGTCAAGAAGAAAAAGTAAAGTCTTAGACTATATTGTGAAAAAATTCAAACAATTTAGGGGTGAATAATACATATATATAGAACACCAAAAACCCTAATTAGTTGGTCTTATGGAAAAGATTTTTTAATTTTTTTATTCGAATCTCGAAAGTCAACACTCGCTATTATCTATTTCTCTCGATATATTAGATCCATATACATTTTTAAAATCATCATATTTTAAGTAATTTTATATATAAAAAAACGTTAATTGCTCAATTTATTTTTATATATTAAGATGATTTTTCAAAATGTTATTATATCTTTAGTTGAATTAATTTTATATTAAATGTCTAATCTATTATTCTAGCAAAATTTTCATTTCAAACCATCATAATTATTAACGTGATTTGCATGTAACTCAATTTTTATTGTCAAAATACCATTCTAATTAAGTCGAATAGAATGCTTATATGTACAAATCTTGACATAATAATATATTAGACATTTAACATATATTCAATGACAAAATTAATTCAATTAAAAATATAATGATAGATATAAAAATTATCTTATTATATGATGATATATATTAAGCTATTAACCCTAAAAAAGACTTTGAAATATTAGTGTGAATAGCAATTGGAAATAACCTCTATGCATTATTATTTCATATTATTGCAAATAACAAAATAGATAAATAAATAAAATGAAAGTAAATGGTTTGAGAATATAAAGTTTACATTAAATCTCTCAAATAGGTTAACTAAGAAATATTCTGACACTTTTTTTTTCAAAAAAAAAATTTAAATAATTTATGGCTAATTTAATAATTACTTTAAAATGAAGTTAATTTAATTACTATAATAATTCCATGAACACTATTCATCCATAAGAAAAGAATATTGATTAATGTATTTGACAAAGTTATACAAGAACATGCTAAATAACTTATAATAATAGTACTAGGCTTGTAAAGGAATTAAAGAATAAAATCCTCATTGTATTACCCTAATAATAAACTCTTAGATTAGCATCTTAGCATGTTTAGGACTAAACAAAATGAAAGGAAATATTCCAATCTAAGAAAATAAAATAAAATAAAAAGGAAATATGCTCATAGCTACATTTCGAATAGAATGTTTTTATATAGAGTACGGACTTGTCAGAGAAAGGTCTTGTCTGATTTTGATGAAATTTTGGTGGCTGAGTCATGGCTGGATAGATGTTTCTTTTGTCTTCTGTTTTTTTCTGGTGGGGTGGCAAGGATGGGCTTTTCGTGGCTGATTTGATGGAATGGCTCAATGCAAGCAAGCCTAGTTTTTTTGGTGGGCCGAAGGCCACCATAGATGTGATTCGTTGGTGAATTGGAGTATATTATAAACGAGTCCCTCTTGTTTTTTTTTTTGAAATGAATTAAAGTCCATCTAATTTCAAAACTAATTTATTAACATACACACGGGTAGTGAAATGCCTACGGGTCAATTTTCGTATCGACAAAAACTAAATCCATCCTTCTTGAGATAGACTCGTGCTAAATCATGTTTAGTATTTAATCGTTTCTAAAAATTAAACTCTTTAAACACATCAACAATTCATATCAAATGTCACATAAAAGAAATGAAGAAGTTTTCTAATGATGAGAATCAAACTTCTGATTTAGTGAGTTAAAACGCTATTCTTACCATTCTATCGATAATTTTTAATGCTAAGTCTATACATTTTAAAATCTATTTGTAACGATTGCCATATGTCTATGAGTAGTAACCCATCCATTCTTTATTGTTTATATTGGAGTAAATTATATTAGTCCTTCTTGTTTTTTTTTTTAATATGAATTAAATAGTTCTTCTAGTTTCAAAACTAATTAACTAGTCTCTATATTAATTTTTTTTTAATATTTAAGGATAGTAAAATATTTTCGAGTTAACTTTCACACTAATGAAGATTAAATTTATTATTTTTTTGAGAGAGATTAGTGCTAAATCATTCATAACGTTTGGTCGTTTTTAAAAGCCGGACTCCTTTGAGTCCTAACAATCCATGTCTATTGTACACAAAAGAAAGAAAGGAACTTTTAAAGAGTGAGAATCAAAGTCCTAGTGAGTTAGAAACGCTTTTTTTTGCTACTTCACCTACAATTTTTTAAATCTATTTGTAATGATTGCCATGTGGCTATGAGTACCAATCCTTTCCATTCTTTCTTGGTTGAATTGAAGTAAATTTTAAATTAATCCTTTTTAATTTTCAAAACCAATAGAATAATCTCTCTAGTTTCAAAAGTTAATTACTTAGTACTTATATTTTAAAACCTATTAATAACAATAAATTTTTTTCAATGCATTTAATAATTAATTTTTATTTAAAATATGAAAGGATTAAAAAATATTGTAGAAGACTACCTCTATTATATAACTCAAACCTCTTTAAATCTTTATTAAAAAAAACAAAATATTGAAATTAATGAATTACTTCCCGGATCAAATAGTAAATATCATTGGCAATCTAGAACCTTTGTTCTGATGAGAATTTTAGTTGCAAATATGCTTGGAAGTTCATCCAAAGTAAAGGTAGAAGAGTTGACTTGTGCAAGTTAATTTGGGGCTAAAGAAATATTTTAAGACATGGGTATTATACTTTATTGTCGGTCAAACATTTTAATAACCAGTATTTGTATAAATTGAAATTAAATTTATTATTTTTTGAAAATAGATTAAGATCCACATCACGTATAGTTTTGAGTTGATTTTGGTAGAATTCTTAGACAAATAATCATATAGAACATGCAAATTCAAATAGGGAGGAAATTTAAGCCCTATGTATGTACGTCATGTGGAATAGTGCAATCAAAACAATGAATAGGGATGAGACTCATAAGTGCATAGCTAATTAAGAGCTCTAAGTTAATTATGGGAAATTTTTTTTTTACGTAAAAATGAAACCCACATGCACACCATGTACTCTGGTGATGAGGATCACATGGTGTGAGTTCATGTGAAAAAAAGAAAAGAAAAAGAAAAAAAAAAAAAAAGAAATAGCAGCATTCATAACACAAAATGTGAGGTGATTGTCAAGGAAATTATGCATCTGTCCACTTTATTCAATGCCAGAATGAGTTTCCTCATATTTGAATTTTGTATTTTTTTGATTGAGTTTTTTTTTTCTTTTATTTGATTAAAATCTTTTATTTTTTTTAAAATTTTTTAATTTTAGATCTTTTGTTATAACATCACCAATTAATAATCAATATATAGTATTATAAAATAAGAAATTTCAAAAAATAAAAATAGTTTATCGATCCCTAATTAACGACATTATAATAAAATATCTGAAATAAGAAATTTTGAGAATAAAATATCTTAATCAAACTAAAAAAAAGTATTTAAATAAAAAATTCGATGAGTACTTATTCACAAATTTGTATGGGGTGAAAAGTTTTCATTTCCCATATCATGAAAAACCCTTCAATCGCAAAGTTCAAATAATAGAAAAAACCCATGCTAGACTATAAGAACCCTGATGACCTCTAGCTGTCAAATTTGCAATTTACGTAATTAATAGTAATTTGATATTTATTGGTCTGTATGCAAATGAGCTTACGCTTTGTGTAGCTTTGGCTGGTTTTATAAAGGACAAACGTCAAAAAAGCCCTCAATCTATAAGAGAAATCTAGAATAGATCTCCAATCTATATATTTTTTTGTATTAATTAGATTCCCAATGTACCAATTGGTTCTTCAGTCAGATCTTTCCATCAATTTCACTTAATAAAATTGTTAAGTAATGACTTGACATGCTAAGGAATTTCTTCTTTTGCATTAAAACCTATGAATTTACTTAAATCCCTCGTATCATATCATAAAATAAACTACATAAAAAAGCATACAAAAGTTTTATATTTATACGTATACATATAGTCCATTACATGAATTTTATGTAATGCAAAACGAGAGATCTTAATGATTTGGAAAAGAAATCACGTGAGTTTTCATTAACTTTTTTGTTAACTGGAATTAAGTGAACTATCTAATTAAGAATCCATTGTTATGTTAGGAATCTAATCAAGATGAAAAATATGTTGGAGACCTAATCGACGTTGCCTCTATAAGTTGGGGACTTTTATGAGGTTTGTCCTTTTATGAACAACCTTTTTTTCTTTCTTTGCAGTTGTATAGTTTTGTCGGATTTAGAGGCTTTTATGTTCATTTCTCTATATTGAAGAAAGAATTTGGTGCCTTAATTTGCTAATAGGAATCCAGAAACTTCTTCTTCTTCTTCTTGTTATTTTCTCTCAACATATTCTGCAATTAATATCTGCTTCAATGACTCTGACATTACTTCTTCCTCTATGTTCTCTCTTCATTACTCATTTGTTCATTTCAGGTAATGAATTAAAGAAATTAAAACAACAATATCACTTTTCTAATTGTTCTTCAACTATACTATTGATTTCCAAGTTGTTGCTCATTTATGTTATTGCTAGCAGGTGTTGTTTCAACAACTATTACAATATCAAACAAGTGTAACTACAAAGTATGGCCAGCCATTTCCGAAAATCCAGATGCAAAAGATCTCTCAACAACTGGTTTTTCCCTTGAAAAGGAGGAGTCAAAGAACATAACAACCGCGGATAACTGGTATGGTCGAGTGTGGGGTCGCACATATTGCACTCAAGACGATACAGGAAGATTCTCCTGCATCACAGGAGATTGTAGCTCCGGCAAAATACAATGTCCAAACGGATATGGCTCGATTCATGTGACGTTGGGAGGGTTCTGGCTTGATTATTCTGGTGAACTTGATCTTTTTTATGTTAGTTTTCTTGATGGCTACAACCTGCCTTTGCTTATTTTGTCCATTGATCAAAGTCGCGAAAGCTCGGGATGTGCGGTGGATTTGAACAGCCTGTGTCCTAGTTCAGAACTTATGGTTAATGGTTCTGATGGGAAGATAGCAGGGTGCAGGAGCCCTTGTGCAGCCTTTGGATCATCACAATATTGCTGTAATGGAACGCATAATACACCTGATACTTGCAAGCCTTCTTCTTATTTTCTAACTTTTAAGAAGTCGTGTCCACAAGCCTTTTCTTATCCTCTTGATGATGAGAATAGTTCCTCCTCTTTTGTATCAATGAATTACCATATTACCTTCCGTCCAGGTAAGTTTACCATTTTCAATCTTGTAGTAGTTTTTAAGTTTAGTATTTTGTTATTTATCATTTTAGCATATAGGGCTAGTTTAATTTGTTCGATGACGAGCATACATGTCCATCACAGGAAACGCAACAAATTCTTCAGAAACTACTGAATCGCCAGCACCATCACCTGGGGAGATAACACCAAGCCCTTCGTTACAAGAGAGAATACCTAGCCCTTTGCCAGAAACAAGGCCTAATACTACTCGAAGAAATTTGGCACCAATTATAGCAGGAGTTACAGTTAGTGGTCTTCTTATCATTTCTTTTATAGTGGTTCTTATTTTGAAGGCCAAATGGTGTGGGAAGTCTGAAAAAGCCAAGCAGGACGTGGAATATGATCATATAAAGTAGAACTTTGCGTTGCAACCGATGATTTCAAGGAGATACTTGGAAGAGGAGGCTTTGGATCTGTATTCAAAGGAAAATTGGCAGATGGAACAGAAATTGCGTTGAAGAGGTTGGAGAGCTTAGGCCAAGGAATGGGAGATTGTTTAGCAGAAGCCGAGGCAATTGGAAGTCTGAACCATCTTAACTTGGTGAAGTTGATTGGATTTTGCGCAGAGAAATCCTTTAGGCTTTTGGTCTTTGATTATTTGAGCAATGGATCGTTAGATAATTGGATTTTTATGAATGTCCAAAGATCTTTGCTTGATTGGCAGACCAGGAAGAAGATTATACTCGACATAGCAAAAGGGCTGGCTTATCTTCACGAAGACTGTCGACATACCATAATACATCTTGATGTAAAACCACAGAACATTCTTTTGGATTCGAATTTCCATGCCAAAATGGCTGATTTTGGGTTATCCAAGCTAATTGATAGAGACATAAGCCGAGCTCAAATCCCAATAAGAGGAACCCCTGTATATATTGCTCCAGAATTGTGTATATCATCAGGTTGTGTAACTGTAAAGGTTGACATATGTAGCTTCGGAATTGTTCTCCTCGAAATAGTTTGTTCACGCCGAAATGTCGATGAATCGCAACCAGAATCGGCCTTTCGTTTGCTTAGAACGTTACAGAAGAAAGCCGATCAAGATAGAGCAATAGACATGGTGGAAACTTCAGATGAATACACGCAAAGTGATCGAGACGAAATACTCAGGATGATACATCTTTCTGCTTGGTGTTTGCAAGATGAACCTGAAAGAAGGCCTCTCATGTCCATTGTTTTGAAATTGTTGGAAGGTGTAATGGAGGTTGATTCAAACATCAATTATCAGTTTTCGCATGCATTGATTTCTTCTTCTGTTGGTAACAACCATGTTTCTTCAGCACCACCTCTAGCATCTGTTCTTTCTCATCCTTGATGATGCAGCTGTAAATCTTTCTCTTTGGAAGAAATAAAATCCATCGAGCTTCGCGTCACTCCTGCTACTTTTGCATGCTATCTTAAACTAAGCACAACTATTTTTAAACTAGCAAAGCAAGTCATAGTTTTAAATAATAGACGTGGTTGTAAAAACAATTACGATTATAGTGGCAGGTCTCAGCTTATTATGACAGTAAATTAACAATCGCAGCAACTCGATATTATAAATACGTTAGCATTTATTATTAAATTTATTATGATTCATATAATTTAAGAGTTTTACTAATTAAGCATAATAATAACATTTTAATTATTTAATATTATATAATAATATTGAATTTATTACAAAAGAAAGTTAATAACACTTTTAATAGCTTAACATCTCACAAAAAAAAAAAAAAATGCATTACAACTTTAAGATGTAAAATTTCACATCTCCCAAAAAATAATAAAATATATTACAATTTAATATATAATATTTTACATGGATAATATCTGAAAGAGTGTGAAATAGATTCAAATTTTGAATTGTTTAATATCATTCAATGATAGTTGAATTTATTACAAAAGAAAGTTAATAACACTTTTAATAGGTTCACATCTCATTAAAAAAATAACAAAATGCATTACAACTTTAAGATGTAAAATTTCACATCTCACAAAAAGTAATAAAATATATTACAATTGTAATATATAAGATTTTACATGGATAATATTTGAAAGAGTCTATAATAGATTCAAATTTTGAATTGTTTATTATCATACAATAATAGTTGAATTTATTACAAAAGAAAGTCAATAACACTTTTAATAGCTTAATATATCACAAAAAAAAAAAAATCATAACAATAAAATGCATTACAACTTTAAGATGTAAAATTTCACATCTCACAAAAAATAATAAAATATGTTAAAATTTTAATATATAAGATTTTACATGAATAATATCCGAAAGAGTATGTAATTGATTCATTGGCATATGTACATCCATGAGTATAGTCCATCTATTCTTTCTTGTTTGAATTGGAAAATATTATAAATTAGTCCCTTCATTTTTTTCCAAAATGAATTAAATAGTCTTTCTAGTTTCAAAACTAATTAATTAATCTTTATATTTTCTTTTTGATGTTTATGAATAGTAAATTATTTTTGAATGAACATTTGCATCAACAAAGACCAAATCCATACTTTCTGTGATAGGTTAGTGTTGAATCAAGCTTAGCTTTTGGTCGTTTCTAAAGATCGGGCTCTTTAAGCCTAACAATAGTTCATGTTCGAGTGCCACACAAAAAGGAAGGAGAGAATTTCCAATAATGAGAATCAAACTCATAACTTGATGAGTTATAAACACTATCCTTAGCACTTCATCTACAACCTTTGGTAGTAAATCTCTATATTTTTAAATTTATTTGTATCGATTACCATATGTTTTTGAGTACTCGGTCCATCCATTCTTTCTTGTTTGAATTGGAGTAAATTAAAAATGAGCTCCTCTTGTTTTTTTTTTAAAAAGAATTAAATAGTGCTTTTCGTTTCAAAACTAATTAAGTAGTCTTTATATATATATTTTTTATAGTTATGAATAGTAAAATATTCTCGGATCGGCTTTCATATAAATGAAAACTAAATCCGTCATTTTTTAATATAGGTTAGTGTTTGATCATACCTAATTTTTTAATCATTTTTAAGGGTTGGACTCTTTAAATCTACTAGCAGTCTATGTCTAGTGCTAAACAAAAAAGAAAAGGACCTTTTAAAGAGTGAGTATCAAATTCCTCGTGAATTAAAAACACTTTTTTTAATTACTACATTTACAACCATTAGTGTTAATTTTTTATACTTTTAAATGATAACAAATGCCATATGTCCATGAGTTCCACTCTATCCATTCTTTTTTGGTTGAATTGGAGTAAATTATTAATTAATCCCTCTTGTTTTTTAAAATAAATTAAATAATCTCTTTAGTTTTAAAAACTAATTAATTAGTCCTTATATTTTAAAACCTATTAATAAAAATCATTTTTTCAATTTAATTTAATTATTTTTTATTTGAAGGTTTTGGGGTTTAAATCTTAAAAAAATATATGAAAGGATTAAAAATATTAAAAAAGACTATCTCTAATATATAACTCAAAACTCCTTGAATCTTTATTGCAAAAAGGCTAAATAAATCAATCTATCTTTATATAATAACCAATGTAATATCCTCGATCTAAAACCTCCTTAAGTATAAATATGTTGTACGAATAATTAATTTATTATTTAATAGATGAATATTTACTTAAGAAATGAATTGATATTTAATGCTTGCATAGAAAATAAATTGATGCATGCATAAATATTATGAGAGGTGAATAAATTATTTAATGCTTGAATTAGTAAGTTATAATATTAATTGTTAAGATTGTAATAATTTGAGGTTGTAATTGCAAGACTTTATGAGGTTTAATCGCAACAATTAAAATATTGGTTACTTGATTAAAACAATTAAAAAATTCAAGTAATCATTATAAATTAGGAAAAGCCTAGATTAAGGGTTTGATTAGGGAAAATTGAAAGTTTAGAGACTGAAATTGAAGAACTCGATTGAACTAATTACAACTTGAGGGACCAATTAATTCGGCTAGAATTGGCCATTTATATCCAATTCTTCTTGAAATAAAGAGGAAGAGAGGGAGGAGTTAAGTTTGCAAAATGAAGAAGAAATGAGAGAAATGGAGAAAAATCTAGAGGGAGAGCATTTAATGAAGGGGTTTGATATGGAACCAAGTGGGAAAATCAAAGGAAATCTTTCTCTATAAATTTGGCAAGAGGAGGAAGGAGAGGGGGATGAAGAACCAAATATTAATGGAAGAACAAAGGAAAATTCAAGCAAATTCAAGTAGAATTAACCCAACCCACCACCCAAAACCACTAAATTAACCATTAACATAGTCTAAAATTAGTTTAGGAAAGCTTGAAGCCATCAAATAAAGAAGGAAGAAAAGAGAGGATTTTGGCCGAATCTTAAAGGAGAGAAAAAGGAGGAAAAGTTTCAAGTGAAGTAAGTATAGTCCTCACTACATCACAAGATTATAATATATGGATACTTGATTGTCCATATTTTGAAGTTTAAGAAATTGTGTATTGATTGTTCAAATTAATGGGTTTTGGTATAATTGATATATCTTGATGAAATGTTAGTGTATTTAAGTTGAATGATGACATATTTAAATAAAAATTACTTCGTTGCATGCTTGATTTTGGGTAAGACAAGTTTAATGTCCATGGTTTGTTCTTGGTAGTTTCGGTCAAGGCTAATTATTTGTATATGTTGATGTGTTTTGTTATGTTGAATGATAATTGTGCAAGTTATTAGTGATATGATTATTTGGTAATGAATTCATGTGGAAAATAAATAGGTTTTATGTTGAACTTGGGCAAGGAATGGTTCATGGTTGAATTTGCCCTAAAGGCTATTTTGTGATCTCGATCGATTTCATGGATTGGTTTAATGTTGTTTCCATGTATTGGTAGTGTTCCATGAAAGTATGTTTTGTGTTCAATGATATTTATCTTGGTTATTGGTTAATTATAGTCCATAATCATTTATCATGTTAATGATTGCATTCATGTCATGAAATGGTTCTAATCATGTTTTCAAAGATAAAAATAAGTGTATGGATTTTCAAGAAAATGGTTAGGCATGTCCCAATTATAGTTATAGGCTTAATCATGGCACATAAAGAAAATGACCAACTCTTTGTGGGTGTAATGATCACAAGTTCAATCATGGTTCATAATTGTAAACGTCATAGGCTTCACAATGGATATGTCTAGTGGTTTTCATAATTTTCAAATACATGGTTTTTATGGATAGCCAAATATATATAAATATATTCGATAGAATGCATCCGATCACATAAAATATTTTCAAAGTCATGAAAATACATCTCATTGCATCATACATCATGCATTACATGACTACACTTACCGAGCGTAAGCTTATCAAGTTGTCTAGTGATGTAGGTCCGCAGGAACATATAAAGACTCAAAGTGAAGTTGATGATGAGCAAGAAGGAAATGTGCTACAAGAGCTTGTCAAAGTGAACTGTAAAAATTAGTATAGGTTTAATTCATTCCATATTAAATAATCTATGCAACTTTATTAATTTAGACTAGGAATGAATGAGTAAATAAATAAATCCATTCTTGGCGAGTAAATTGCTAATTATTAGGAGATCTCAAATTATGTTTTCATGAGTTGAAAAAAAAGATTATTAGTGAATTATCCTTTAAAGATTAATGAAATAAATTTGTAATTAGAGCGTGATGAATAAAAAGATGAACCTAAACTTTTAAATTAAGAAACTTATGTTATAAATGTTAATTACTTTAGAATAGTAAAGGTTATAAGGCTTCGTGTCTTGCATTCATTACATTTTGAATATGAGGCACTCGCCGATAATGCTTTCGACCTACTTTAGGTCTTAGGTCGTGGGTGTTATACCTAAAGTCTTCTATTTGTTCTTAGGTTTTTAATTATATCCATTTATCTCTGAATTTTTTTTGAAATTTTCAGTTTGTCATTTCGATCAATTTTTTCGACTATGGATAAACTTTTTGTAAAAATATCCTTTACTAAAATGCAAAAAAAAAAAATAAAAAAAAAAAAAATACAATAAAATCACATGATCCGAATGTTTTACTTTTAAAGTCTTTATAATTATATTATATTTTTTGTTTGCATTTCAATCGGGAGCATTTTCATCAATTTTTTTTTGTGATAAGAAAAATTGATCGAAATAGTAGATTGAATATTATATTATATTTTTAAACGAGATGAGATGCAATTAAAAATCTAGAGATAGATGGATGACTTTATATATTATATAAGAATATATTGATATATTTACCTTTAAAAACATTAAAATTAATGAATTACGTTCTGGATCAAATAGTAAATATCACTGGCAATCTAGAACCTTTGTTCGGATGAAAATTTTAGTTGTAAATCTGCTTGGAAGTTCTTCCGAAGTAAAGGCAAAATAGTTGACTTGTGCGAGCTAATTTGGGGGTTAAGGAATGTTTTAAGACATGAATTTTATAGTTTGTTGTTCGGTCAAACATTTTGATAACCAGTATTAGTATAAATTAAAATTAAATCTATCATTTTTTAAAATAAACTAAGATCAAAATAATGAATATGGTGATAATTTTAAGAGCTCTGACTTTCAGTTATGGAAAAAAAAATTGCATAAAAAAGAAACCCACATGCACACCATGTGCTCTAGTGATGAGACTCACATGGTGTGATTTCATGTGAAAAAAAGAGAAGAAAAGAAAAGAAATAGCAGCATTCATAACACAAATTGCGAGGTGATTGTCAAGGAAATTATGCATCTGTCCAGTTTATCCCATGCTAGAATCTAAGAACTCTGACTTCTAGCTTTCAAGCTCGAAATTTATGCTAGTAGTAATTTGAAATTTGTTGGTTTAATGATATAATTCACCTTCAAACTATTAGGATTTTTGCAAAATAAAATTTATACGATTAATTTAGACTATTTGAACCTTAAACATTAATGTTTTGGTAATTTTTTTATATTTTGTTTAATGATTAAAGTGTTGATCGTTAACTAAAATACTTAAAGTAATGTCTTTTTAAGTATTTAAGTTTTTTTTTTGAAAATTAAAATTAATTTCAGAATTTTTTTTAATAATAGTTAAATTTAAGAAAGTTTAGATGATTTTATTTTTTAAAGATCTAACTTTTATTATTGAATAATTAATGATGTGTGATAGATACATATAGTTCAAAAGAAGAATTTTTTTTTCAAAATTAATTTATTTTCTAAAAAAATGAGATACTTAAAATGATATTTTTTTAAGTACTTCAATTAATAGTCAATGCTTTAATCATTATACATAACGAAAAAAAATTAAAATTTACATAAAAATTAATAGTTTGAAGTCCAAATAATCTAAATTAATAATCTAAATCTTATTTTACCATAACAATAATAGTTTGAAAGTAAATTATGTCATTAAACCAAAATTTATTGCTCTGTATGCAAATCAGCTCAAGCTTTGTGTAGCTTTGTCTAGTCTTATGATGGCAAACCGCAAAAAAGTCCTGAATCTATAGAAGAAATCTAGACTAGATCTTTAGCCTATTTTTTTTTATTTAAAAAATTAGATTCTCAATGGATCAATAGAATTTTCAATCAGATCCTTCAATCAATTTCCTTTTTTGCTATGTCATTTTGTGATACCAGGTCCACCCTTTTTCTCCTGGTTTTAGTAGCTCCCACTTTTGCATGTTAGCGTGGAGAAATCGATTTGTTGCTGTTTTTTTTTCCTTTGCGTTGGGTCTGTATGGGATGAGAAGTTATTAGCAATTGAAAGTAAACCTGGCCAAGGGAAAATGTCTCAGGTAAGAGGATCTGGGCCCTGGTTACTGTAATTAGAATGTAAACATGGAGTATGTTAATAGTTTTCAATTTTCATTTCCATTGTTTAGGTGAGAATTGATAGCTTGATAGTTTTTTGTTTAAGTTTTTGTTAATTTTGATGGATGTTTCTCATGTTGGGATTGTATAGCTTAGAACCTACTGGCAGCTGAAAGAGAAGCAGTTGAAGAGAAAGGCTCACAGGGAGTGGCAGGAAAAGATGAAGAAAGATATCAGGTGAGGATTTATGGTTGAAGCAGTATAAATCTTCGTAAGTGATAGCACAGAAAATGCTAATGAGTTATATTCTTGCATTTTTGTTGGTCTTGTGCAGGCCATGAATTCTATCTCTATCAGTTGAAAATAGAGAAACTCAGTCTTTGGATTTAATTTTACGGCATGCGGTCTCCTTATGTTATGATGAGATTTACGATTCAAATGCAAAGAAAGAGATCTCATAAGTTGCTTTAATGCTGATGAAAGCATGAATTCTTATTTTATGATGGAAAGGAAGATATAGAAAGCTCATTAAGCCCCACGACAGTCGATCCAGGGAGTTATTTCGAAAACTAAGTTGTTGCTTCAATGACTCTGACATTCCTTCTTCCTCTATGTTCTCTCTTCATTGCTCATTTATTCATATGAGGTAACGAATTAAAGAAATCAATCCAACAATATCACCGTTCTAAATGTTCTTCAGCAATACAATTAATTAGCAAGTTGTTGCTCATCTATGTTTTTGCTAACTGGTGTTGCTTTGACAACAATTACAATATCAAACAAGTGTAACTTCACAGTTTGGCCAGCCATTTCGTCAATGCCATATGGATCAGATCTCTCGACAACTAGTTTTTCCCTTGAAAAGGAGGAGTCAAAGAACATAGCAACACCAGATAACTGGTCTGGTCGTGTGTGGGGTCGCACAAATTGCACTCAAGATGATACAGGAAGATTCTCCTGCTTCACAGGAGACTGTGGCTCCGGCAAAATACGGTGTCCAAAAGGATATGGCTCGAGTCCTATGACGTTGGCAGAGTTCCAGCTTGATTATTCTGCTGCACTTGATCTTTTTTATGTTAGTTTTCTTGATGGCTACAACCTGCCTTTGCTTGTTGAGTCTTCTGATCAAAGCTGCTCAAGCGCGGGATGTGCGGTGGATTTGAACAGCTTGTGTCCTAGTTCAGAACTTATGGTTAATAGATCTGATGGTAAGATAGCAGGATGCAGGAGCCCTTGTACAGCCTATGGATTATCACAATATTGCTGTAATGACACGCATAGTACACCTGATACTTGCAAGCCTTCTTCTTATTCTCAAACTTTTAAGAAGTCGTGTCCAAAAGCTTTTTCTTATCCTCTTGATGCTGAGACTAGTGGCTTCACTTGTGCATCAATGAATTACCATATTACCTTCTGTCCAGGTAAATTTAGCATTTTTCAATCTTGTAGTTTTTCAGTTTGGTATTTTGTTTTTAATCATTTTAACATTTAGGGCTAGTTTAATGTGTTCGATGACAAGCATGTCCATCACAGGAAACACAACAAACTCTTCAGAAACTACCGAATCGCTGGTGCCATCACCAGGAGAGGTAACACCAAGCCATATCCCTTCGCCACAAGAGATAATACCAAACCCTTTGCCAGAAATAAGGCCTAATACAACTCCAAGACGTTCGGCTTCAATTATAGCAGGTGTTACAGGTAGTGGTCTTCTTATCATTTCTTTTGTAGTGATTCTTATTTTGAAGGCCAAATGGTGTTGGAAGTCTGAAAATGTTGAGCAGGATGTGGAATATGATCAGATAAAGCAAGTTCCAGGAATGCCTGTGAGATTTTCATATGAAGAACTTTGCGTTGCAACCGATGATTTCAAGGAGATGCTTGGAAGAGGAGGCTTCGGGTCTGTATTCAAAGGAAAATTGGCAGATGGAACAGAAATTGCTGTGAAGAGGTTGGAGAAATTAGGCCAAGGAATGAGTGAGTTTTTAGCAGAAGCCGAGACAATTGGAAGTCTGCACCATTTTAACTTGGTGAGGTTGATTGGATTTTGCGCAGAGAAATCCTTTAGGCTTTTGGTTTTTGAGTATTTGACCAATGGGTCGTTGGATAATTGGATTTTTATGAATGTCCAAAGATCTTTGCTTGATTGGCAGACCAGGAAGAAGATTATACTCGACATAGCAAAAGGGCTGGCTTATCTTCATGAAGACTGTCGACATACCACAGTACATCTTGATGTAAAACCACAGAACATTCTTTTGGATTCGAATTTCCATGCCAAAATGGCTGATTTTGGGTTATCCAAGCTAATTGATAGAGACATTAGCCGAGCTCAAATCACAATGAGAGGAACCCCTGGATATATTGCTCCAGAATTGTGTATATCATCGGGTTGTGTAACTGTAAAAGTTGACATATATAGCTTCGGAATTGTTCTCCTTCAAATAGTTTGTTCACGCCGAAATGTAGATGAATCGCTGCCAGAATCTGCCTTTCATTTGCTTACAACGTTACAGAAGAAAGCTGATGAAGATAGAGTAAGAGACATGGTGGAAACTTCTGATGAATACACGCAGAGTGATCGAGACGAAATACTCAGGATGATACATGTTGCTGCTTGGTGTTTGCAAGATGACCCTGAAAGAAGGCCTCTCATGTCCACTGTTTTGAAAGTGTTGGAAGGTGTAATGGAGGTAGATTCAAACATCAATTATCAGTTTTCGCATGCATTGATTTCTTCTTCTGTTGGCAGCAACCATATTTGTTCAGCACCACCTCTAGCATCTGTTCTTTCTCATCCAAGGTGATGTATTTGTAAATCTTTCTCTTTTGGAAGAAATAAAATTCATCAAGCTTCTTATCACTTCTACTACTTTTGCATGCTATCTCTCAAGCTAAGCAGAACTATTTTTATACTAGCCAGAGTTATATAAAGAGAAGAAAACTAGAGCATTGAGGTTTTTGGGAGAGAGTTTTAAAGTGGAGATTTAGAGTAGAACTTGAAGGCTAACCAGTGAAGAAGAAAAAAGAGTAAAAGATAGAGAAACAAGAAAGAAAAGAACCACCAAAGTAAGGGTGAATATTGCCGAGAGGGGAGAGGATAACCCATCAAAAACCAAGTTTAAACAAAGTATTTTTCTTCCTTTTCTCTCTTGGATTTCTTCATTACTAACCGGTATTGTCTTTGTTAATGTGCATTGTGCTCTAAACACCAAATAATCCCCCAAAAATGGTGAAAAGCGTAGTGTTCATGGCTGCCAAAACCGAGACTGAAAATGGTGGATAGGGTCTATTTTTCTTGCTATTCTTGCACTTAGAAGATGCAAACATCACACGTACTTGTAGATGGATATCTTAGCTAGGGCTCTACGCTTTTGTTTGTAGTCATTTAGGAGAAGAAAACTAGAGAAAAAATAGTCACAGGAAGGATGTATATGAAACGAGTTTTTCTAGCATTCAGGGAAAAGAAGAAATTTTGCTTCGCATTTATACATTTTAGTCCTTCATTTTGTGGGGTCTCTTTATTTAAGTTGTTAAGTTTAAAAATCTTATTAATCCTTAATTTTGACAGATTAGGAATCAAATTAGTGAAATTCTGACATCTAGGAAGGTTTTCAGTTTAAGAATGATTTTCGTAAGTTCTAAATGGTTTTTTCCCCCTATTTTTTCATATATTCTATATATATATATATATATCTGTCCTTGATTTATGTTTTAAATTTTATCATTTTAGGGGATAATTTATTTTAATTACTGTCATATATGTATTTTTAGGGGGACTGTTTCAGTTTCCATTTGCTTAACCCAGATTATTTAGACAGACTTACTTTATAAATTTTAGTATTTTTAAGAAGTCCTTTACTATTTTATCTGGATTTATTCAAATTGTTGTTGTAGACGTTATATTTTTAAGGAGTTGTCTTACTTTTTTATATTTTTAACCCATTTTTTGATTTTTTTTGTACTTGAAATTTTTATATATTCAATATATACTTATTCTGGAGTTGTGCATTAAATTCCAGAATTTTTGGACGTCGTTTTGTATTTATTTATAATTGTTTTAGTTTTTTTCCATAATTATAATTATGTCTAGAGATGATTTTACAAAATTAATTATTTGGGCTAGTTTATGGCATGATTTTAGGTATGAATTTTTTATATATTTATGTGTGTTTTTTAATTGCTGTAAAATTTCAGTAATTTTCAAATTCTTTTAGTATTTATTTAGGTATTTTTTTCTTTTATGGAATAGTTAAGAATGTTTTGTGATGTAATTAATTATAGGATTTAATTTTATCATGTATGATGTGAGATCGACAAGCCTCCTAGTTTCTAAGAACCCACGACGATCTCACGTAAAGATTGGTTTTCAATTCTGATGAATAATTATATCCTTCATGATTTAGATGATTGTTAATTAGAAAACACTAAGGCTATGTTTGTTTAGGAGAAAACAAGTTCCTGGAATTTGTTTTCTTCATTTTTCAGTGTTTGTTTCACATTCAGGAAAAAAGTCAATGGAAAGTGATGTCTAGTCAACGAAAAATGATAGAGTAATTTTGAGAAAATGTTTTACTAGTTTCAAAAGAGGAAAACATTTTCCTTTTCACGAGTTGTCTCGCTCTCTCGATATATTTTAACAATTTTTTTTCTCTATCTTCTTTTTATTTAAAATATATCATATTAATTTTTAATTATTTCTTATCAATTATTATTAATTATTTAATTATTTTTTCTCTATCTTTACTAATATTTGATTTTTTGATTTATAGATGCATTAAATATTCTTAAAAACCATTTTTACACCTTAAAATTATTTTTATAATAAATATTTCAATAACTTATCTCTTTTTTTTACTATTGTCTCAATCACTACCTAAGCTATAGTTAAATGATTAAAAATGATTATTACAAGACTATAATTTTTTGTAAAAAGAAATTAAAATTAATTAATTCATCAATAAATATATTATTTTTTCAACACTATTCATTTATAATTAAATCAATAATTTATAATTTTAATCAATTGTAAAATTTTTTTGGTAATTGTAATGAATAATTAGTTACAAATTATTCCAACATTAATATTTTGAGATCAAATAAATAATTATCTATAGATGATAACAAATAATTTATCAAATTATTTTTTAGACTAAATTATCAGTTCAATTTCTTAAAAAAAAAAATTCTTAATTGAGTTACTAAAATAATAATGCTAAGATTACTTAGAATCTTTTTTTTTTTACCAAATATAAATATTGACTTAATTTTGTTCCAAGTAATTTTGATGATTTGGTTTGATTGTTAAAAAAATATATTTTATTTTTTGAATTAAAATTTTAGAGTTAGTATCGATGAAAATTTATTAAAATTTTCTAAATGTATCTTATATTATGAAATTATGAATGTCTTTTTAAAATTTTCTCAAAACTTGTTGATATAACAATCACATAAGTTTTTGTATTTTAATTTTCCGTATCAAACAAACGTTGGAATATATTTTTCGAGTAACTTTTTCATACGGACCTCGACCTCTTCCTTGTCCTTGACCATGACCTCTAATGGAGGCATCACCTTTGAAAGTCATCTTTGCTTGCAAGACTTGCTCCACTTGCTTTTGCTTGCCATGGTTCATCCTTTCCTCATAGGCTCGCAATGATTCGTTTAACTCGTTAAGGGACATGGCTTCTAAGTCTTTGGACTCCTCAATTACTACCACCACTTGGTTGAATTTTATGTTGAGAGAACGAAGAATTTTCTCAACCACACGAACATCTAGTAAAGTCTCTCCAAGCCACTTTATTTGATTCACCATTGCCAAGAATCTTGTAAAATAGTCTTGAATTGATTCACTTTCCTTTATAAAAAGTGATTCAAACTCGAGTCCTTAGAGTTTGAAGTCTAACTTTCTTCACTTTCTCAACTCCCATGATGGAGTTATGAAGCGTCTCCCACGCTTGTTTAGAGGTCATCTCATTTGCAATCTTCTTGAACATATTATCATCTAGGCCTTGATGGATGATAGTGAGGGGATATTGATCTTTCTTTCGTTCCTTCTCCAAAGCTTCCTTCTCGTTTCGAGTAAGAGCCTTATCATCTTCGGGTTCTACAAAACCTTTGTCAACAATTTTCCAAACTCCTTAGGAACTAAGTATGGCCTTCATTCTAAGTGCCCAATTCTCATAGTTGAGTTTGGTGAGGCGAGGGTATTAGAAAGAAAGTGAGGCTCCTTTGGAATTCATCTTAGCTCTAATACTACTTTGTTGGAAGGTGGTGGACACTCACTCAAACACATAAAGTAGAAAGAAGAAAGGAATTTTAGAAGAAGAGAACTTTTGTTTCTCAAACTAATTCTTCTTGACTTGACTTAAACTCAAGATTACATGAGCTATTTATAGGACTTCTTATAGGTTCATCCCTTTAATTAAATTCTTATACATGAATTTCAATTTACTTAAATCACACACTTCTAGATAAATGAAACTAAATAATTCATGAATAACTAGATTCATACATGGCTAGACACATCATACATGCACTAACAATAAATTTTGAATTTGTTCAAGTTTAATAACCAACAGTTGTGAAAGTAGGCCACTCATGTCAACAATTGTGAAAGTATTGGACAGTGTAATGGAGGTAGATTCAAGCCTGGTGTATAGGTTTTCACATGCACTGATATCTTCTCCTATTGTTAATCAACATATTTCTTCAGCATCGATGCCAACATCTGTTCTTTCTTATCCTAGAAGATGGATTTGTTAATCTTTATTTTTGTTTTTTTAATTCATCGGGAGGTCTATAGGCTTTAAGCTACACAATGAAAATAGCCTTCTTCATTACATAACAATCAAATAAACTTATTAGCATTCAAACCTACTTCACATCCATTAGACTATGTTTGCTTATGTTTTAATCTTTCTTTTTCGGAAAAGAAACAAATTATTCAAACTTGTAATCACTTGAACTCCTCTTCCTTGTTATCTTAAGCTAAGTATATATATATATATATATATATATATATATATATATATATATATATATATATATATATATATATATATATATATATATATATATTTGTTTGTTTGTTTCTTTAGTGTTCTTAATCTTTTATACTAACATTGAAAAAATTAAGCTTGTGAAGTTGTTTGTGATTACAAACCAATCATGATCACACTGAGGGATGAGTAAGGGTTGAGAACTTAAAAAACCTGTCCGTTCAACTAGGTTCATAGAGCTGAAAGTAACAGAGAAAAGTAGAGAATTATTTTATTTTAATAATTACATGTTAGGATACTTTTTTAAGTATTATTTTTAACTTATTATAATATCTTTTAAATATATTTCAGAATTTTACTATGATAGGATCTCATCTATGATACATTTTTTATATTTAGAATGGGATTTAAAAAAAACTATAATATGAAAATAGATGATGATGATGATGATGATGATTTGGTCTATGTAATTTTTGAATTATTTTAATTGAAGTCTCATACTTTTTGAATTGTTTTAATTAAGTTCGTTAATTAGAAATCTATATATGACACATATCACACATTCAAGACGTTTCACATCAACTCACAACTATTATTGTTATAACGAAGGGAACATAAACATAGCAAAAACAAAATGAAAAGTAGGTGGATTTAATCATGACCAGAAAAAAAAAAAAAAAAAAAAAATATATATATATATATATATACAAAACAATTAAAAAAGAAAAGAAAAAAGGACCATGTAAAGGGCAAAACCCAAAACGTGTGGTGGCAGAGACCTTATGTCCAAGAAAGTCTCAAGGAAATTGGTTGGATGCATTGTTTGAACTTTCAGCGCCAAATGTCCTAATGACAAAGTCGGTTCCCTCAGAGTAAGAAACTTTTCTTTCCCTCAAAATTGACCTTTGAGTCAAGCTTAGCCAAATGAAAATAAATAAACTTTGCTAATTGAAATTCAGATTTCTTGTTCTTCTTCTTGTCTTAAATAAATTTACTCTGCTTCAATGTCAAAGATAATACTACTTACACAATTATCTTCTTTTTTAGTTGCTCATTTGTTCATATCAGGTATCATAAAGAAATCTATCCAAAATTTTTCTGTTTCCAGGTCTAATTCTTTTTGCTAACTTCCTATTTTATGTTATTGCTAATAGGTGTTCTTTCAGCAACATTTACAATAACAAACAAGTGTAACTACACAGTATGGGCAGCCATTGCCTCGGCTCAATCAAACGCATATCCAGGTAAATTTACCATTTTTCAATCTTGTAGTTTTCCAGTTTGGTGTTTTGTTTTTGGTCATTTTAACGGTAGTTCAATTTGTACGAAGTTAAGAAAGCCTGCACAAATGGAAGTTAGTTTACCACAAACAATCTCTGATATGCATACATGTCCATCACAGTAAACACAACAAATTCTTCAGAAACTACCAAATCGCCGCCCCCATCACCAGGGGAGATAACATCAAGCCCTTCGCCACAAGAGAGAACACCAAGCCCTTGGATACAACAGAGAATACCAAGCCCTTTGCCAGAAATAAGGCCTCATACTACTCCAAGACGTTCAGCACCAATTATAGCAGGAGTTACAGGTATTGGTCTTCTTATCATTTCTTTTGTAGTGATTCTTATTTTGAGGGCCAAATGGTGTGGGAAGTCTGAAAACGTTGGGCAGGATGTGGAATATGATCATATAAAGCAAGTTCCAGGAATGCCTGTGAGGTTTTCATACGAAGAACTTTGCGTTGCAACCGATGATTTCAAGGAGATACTTGGAAGAGGAGGCTTCGGGTCTGTATTCAAAGGAAAATTGGCAGATGGAACAGAAATTGCTGTGAAGAGGTTGGAGAAATTAGGCCAAGGAATGAGTGAGTTTTTAGCAGAAGCCGAGGCAATTGGAAGTCTGCACCATTTTAACTTGGTGTGGTTGATTGGATTTTGCGCAGAGAAATCCTTTAGGCTATTGGTTTTTGAGTATTTGAGCAATGGATCGTTGAATAATTGGATTTTTATGAATGTCCAAAGATCTTTGCTTGATTGGCAGACCAGGAAGAAGATTATACTCGACATAGGAAAAGGGCTGGCTTATCTTCATGAAGACTGTCGACATACCATAATTCATCTTGATGTAAAACCACAGAACATTCTTTTGGATTCCAATTTCCATGCCAAAATCGCTGATTTTGGGTTATCCAAGCTAATTGATAGAGACATAAGCCGAGCTCAAATCCCAATGAGAGGAACCCCTGGATATATTGCTCCAGAATGGTGTATATCATCAGATTGTGTAACTGTTAAAGTTGACATATATAGCTTCGGAATTGTTCTCCTTGAAATAGTTTGTTCACGCAGAAATGTCGATGTATCACAACCAGAATCTGCCTTTCATTTGCTTACAACTTTACAGAAGAAAGCTGATCAAGATAGAGTAATAGACATGGTGGAAACATCAGATGAATACACGCAGAGTAATAGAGAAGAAATGCTCAGGATGATACATGTTGCTGCTTGGTGTTTGCAAGATGACCCTGAAAGAAGGCCTCTCATGTCCACTGTTTTGAAAGTGTTGGAAGGTGTAATGGAGGTAGATTCAAACATCAATTTTCAGTTTTCGCATGCATTGATTGCCTCTTCTGTTGGTAAGAACCTTATTTCTTCAGCACCACCTCTAGCATCTGTTCTTTCTCATCCTAGATGATGTAGTTGTAAATCTCTCCCTTTTGGAAGAAACAAAATTCATCAAGCTTCTTGTCACTTCTACTACTATTGCATGCTATCTTAAGCTAAGCACAGTTGCTTTTAAACTAGCCAAGGTACTGATATGATGGCTTTGGAGTAGTTTATGTTCATTGTCTTCTCTCTTTTTTTGACATTTTATACACTAATAGAATTTGTCAATATGTGATGAAATGAAATATAATTTCTTAAAAATTTAAGATCACCAGGAAGTAAGATAAAAACTAGTTGATGGCTCAGATAGTTTACCCGTGTAGTGGAGTATTAGCTAGTCTTCAGAATTTTCAACATTCATATTTAATTGAAAGTGTCGAAGAGCGAAGGTTAGATGCTTGTTTGAACTTTCAACACAATAGACAATGATACCACGGTGCTAAATTCAGTCCTTTTCGAAATGGTTCTTTTTCTTTTCTTTTTTCCCATGCTTTAGACTTTTTAATTTTATTGAAACTTAATTGGGGGACCTGGTGGAACCAATGGGAAGTAAGAAACACGTAAGAAATTAAATTGGAGAAATTGATGGCTACTCATCTAGTGAAGAAACAAAGACTGGAGAAATGACATAAAATGGAGATTTTAATGCTATAGACCTACTTCCAAGCCAAGTTGACCTAAATTAATGAAAGTCAAGCGTCCATATTGATATTGTCATCACTAACATGTCCTCTAGACACACAAAGTCAAGCTTCTCTCCTTTCCACGCACCTTCCTCTACTTTAAAGTTTCTCATGTTTGTAGAGAAGGAAATGAGTGTATGGATTTTCTAGTTAAATTGGGCTATAATAAGAGATATATACATTAGATTTTCTAGTTGAATTGGGCTCTAAATAAAAATTTTGAAAACCATAATAATACTAAATATAAAAAATAAAATAAAATAAACATAGAATCCTAGACTTACTATTAATTTTCAAATTAAAATAGCTTCCTTAATTAAAATAAAAAATAACTGTTTTTATAAAAATTCTTAACAACAAAATAAATATTACAATGAAAATTAATAATAAAAAGGATAAAAGAGATTTTTCCCACATGAGGCTTCCTATCTTGAGAAAATTTGTCATCGAGTCAATTTATAAGTTTAAATTGAACTCTTTCATTCCAAATAAATAAATATATTCCTTTCCATCAATGGGCGTGACTAATAAATTGGGACTATATATGCTTCAACTTCCGTCAATTTTTTCAAGGGTCACCATGAGCTCAATACTTGAGTTTAAAGGTTTCTTTTGACCATGCTTATATGCATGTCATGGGTGCCTCAGATTATCAAAATGCTTGCTATAATGCATTTAGAAAGTACCCTGGATTGGCTTATCCTTCTGAGCTTGCAAGTAGAGAGGCTGGTTTGAAGCATATTTGTGATGTGGTTTTGGGATTCATTGATCATCTTGGTTTGTGATTTGTATCCACTTTTTAATGCAAATCTCTTTGCTAATTATTTGTGAGTTTTCTTTGCCTTTTACTTTTAGTGCGGATATTGACCTTCCATTATAATCTTAATACTTAATTGCTCATATGATTTAGAAATTTCTTATTAAAGGACCCCCTCGGGTGAAAGCGGAAAGTGAGTGTGGTAGGATTTGAATTGATCGTTTGGTCATCTAGAGCTTTTATACCATATTAAAGGATTATCTCACTCAAAAGTTTAAGCTGATATGTAAGGTTTCGGGATATGATTTATATTATTATCTAACATTTCTAGGCTTGGATACTTCGTATTAAATCAGAAAAATTCTTGCCAATAGTTTGCCTAGATTGACCAAATTTGGTGCTATTAAAAAATGTATATCATGATTTTAAAACATCAATCTATGGACCGACTTTTTTCTATATCGAGTTTTAAGAGATCATCCACATTCGAGCACACTCATAAAAAAATATTATTATTATTATTATTATTTCCTAAAATTTGAATCTTAATTTAATGACTTCGTAATAAGTCAAATGGATAATCCGCGGCACCTATTTTTGGTTTTTGTCACTTACACCTACTGTCTAAATTTGCTCACGTAATAAGTTGAACTTGAAGCTATTACGTAGACTAATTACTAGTTCTTTTTATCCCTTATTTTCTTTCTGAAATAACTTATGTTAATGGACAACAAATTTCCTCCATCGAGATACTATAAAAGCAACTCAACTGTTTGTTTATTCGGTATAAAATTTTTTCATAATCATTCTAAACAAATTTTAAAATCAATTTCGGTTTCTGTTTTAAAATTAGCTTTTTTGTCAGTGATCTTGTTTTTTTTTTTGGTCCATATCAACTAGACGCCCATCGTAAAATTGTCGTGATTCATCATCTATTTTCTTCCATCAATTACTTTATGAATTCGGCTGATATCAATTTAGGGTTCTTAAAAAAAAAAATCGAAGGAGAACAATGTATTAGTAAAAAAAAAAGGTACGGTCTATTAATTTAGTGTGGGTTAAAACCCGTGAGTTTACTAAAATTTCTCCGATCATGTTATAGAATAGATTGTAAAGAATTTATTAACTCACACTGAAATACGTTAGAGGAATATATCTTATATACTAAGACAAACATAGAGGATAACTACAATAGAAGTACGAGTATACCAAACTATTACGGTTAGCTATAATATTGGAGAATAAATAGGAGCAATGATTTTATCCTTATATTACCCTCCGTCAAGTTGAGAAGGATTTGAAAGAACACACAACTTGTGTCAAAGTATTTGAAATTGTGTTTTGGATAATGGTTTGGCGAGGATGCCAATAATTTGGTCGGTAGTAGGCATGTAGCGGACTTGGAGCAAATCTTGACAAACCTTATCACACACCAAATGGAAATCAATTTCCAAAGTGCTTTGATTGAGAATGGAAGATTGGTGTATTTGTTAGGTAAGTAGCGGAGACATTGTCACACCAAATTTGGGTGGTCGCCCAACAATGATACCAATCTCCTCTAGTAGGGATTTAATTTATTCCGAGGTCGTAGCTAGAGCTCGGTACTTAGCTTCGTGGATGACCGAGCAATAATGCGTTATTTGCAAAAACGCCATAAAATCAGATTTTTACCAAGATAACTCACAAAGCCGGACATGCTTTTACGATCATCAATATTACCTCCCCAACCAAAGTCTATATAAGCTATAAGAGAGAAGTCATTGGACCATCGAAAGTGTAAACCATAAGTTTTTTATAGCTCGTAGGTAACAAAGGATTTATTTCAAGGCATTCCAATGAGCATTTATAGAGGAATGCATATATCGAGCTAACTTATTCACGGAACAAGCAATGTTGGGATGGGTGATTCTAAGGTACTACAAGCCACCTACAAGGTTGTGGTACAAAGAAGGGTTTGAAAACTCGATACCCCTTACTCGTATGTAACTTGGTGTGAGCACAAACGGGTTTCTTAAAGCCATTGGCTCGATGCATGCTAGCGTTTTGCAAAAGCTCATTGGCATATTTGTGTTGATGAAAGAATAAACCCAAAGCTCCACATTCAGCCTTTATCCTCAAAAAATACTAAAGCCTACTAAGGTGTTTTACTGAAAATAGGAATGCATGGAAAAAATAAGGGATGATACCAAGTTGCCATTGCTGCCAGTAATAACCAAATCATTAACATAAATAAGGCAAAAGAGGATGTCTTGGTCCGATGATTTAAAAAAAGAGACATCATTTTGGGATCCCTTGAAGCCTCGAGAAACTAGTTTATCGGTAAGGCACCCGAACCATTGGCAAGGTGCCTATTTTTAGGCCATAAAGTGATTTCTTTAACCTATAATGATCAATGGGTCGTTGTGGGTCAACAAAACCCTATGATTGAGACATGTGAACAACTTCCTTCGATAGACCATGCATAATTGCATTTGAAATGTCCAACTAATGTTCAACCTACCAACTCAAAGAGATAGCCATGGATAGAATTACACACAAAGTAACAATTTTGATAACCGGAGTTGTAAGTATCGGTGAAATCAACACCATGATGCCGATTAAAACCTTTGGCAACCAATCATGCCTTATAAAGATCCGAGAGACTCATCCGAATATGTCTCCACTTTGTAAACCCATTTACTAATAATGACATTATAAGTGGGTTAACATGGAACCAACTTCCATATGTCATTGGCAAGTAGAGCTTATAGGTCATTTGACTTGATTTTTCATCGAGTGGGGTTCGAATCTGGCCTTTAAATAAGAGGATGGAGTTGCTAAAATAATCTTTGTGGAGTAAGTGCGAGGCTTGAGGTGGCTTGATTTTGCATGAATAATCATGTTGTGTGAGAGAGCAACGGTTGGTGGTGGATTTGGTTTTGCAATGTTCTATGTATAAGATGTAGGGGCATGCTTTAATTCTAGGGAAGATGATTTTGGTAGGTCAAGGGAAGATGTTGTGGCTATTGAAGGAGATGTGTAGTTGCTATCATGTAGTGATCCCATGGCTCGTGGAATGGGGGCGTGACAATTGGGGCTAAACATTTGTAGAAGTAAGTGGTTTAGGATATGGAGCGAGTTATTAAGATTTAAGGAGTGGGAATTGAAGAAGAAGAAGATAGTTGGAAAGATAATTAATAGGAGGATAGATCGACGATGAATCGAAATGAAGGGGGTTATGAGACATTTATTGGTGTGACATGTTAGAGTGAGGTAGGCTTGGGCTTAACAAGCCACAATAGTGTTGTTGGGTTGGGAGAAAAGACTAGAGTTTAAATTAAGTGAGTTTGGGTTGATGGGTGTATGGCTTAAAGATTATGGGTCCGGAGCTGAAGCAAGTTAGAATGGGCTTGTATAAATAGGGGACAATGGGTTTTTAGTGGATTGGGGTGGGTCTGTTTGTGCTAGGAGTGGGCTGAAGCAGATCGGTTAATTTGGTTTTAAGTGTGGAGACTGTTGTGATATAAAAGAATTACTAAGTAAAGAGGGAGCACAAGTGGTTATGGTGGGCTATTTTGAAAGAAGCGAGGTATCGGTAAAGTGGGAGAGATAGAGGCGGTATGGTAGGTCTGGAAAAGAAGGGGACACCGATATAGGCATGGGAACAATCTCAAATGGATTGTTTTACATAGGTGAACTCGAGTTGATGATATAAGAGGAAAAACCTATTCATTAAATAAAAAATGGCATGAGATAGATTTTTTAGTGGAAATAGAATAACGGATATAACATTTATGAAGTTTATTGTAACATATGAAAATATTAGTAGAAGAACGAGATGCAATTTTATGTTTAAATAAGGTCATCCATGGGAATCGAGGAGTCAAGGGAGTGGAGGACATCAAAGATGGCTTTCCCATGCTAAAAATACTACTAAATAGATGATTTAGTGATCCTTTAAACAAGGTGAAAGAGGTTATTTTTCAAGTGATTAATCCGAGTTCTATGCCGAACCATAGGCCACTGGTAATTTTGACCAAGCCTCATGAGTTGTAAAGACCCTAACAACAAGAGGTAGAACACCTTCTATGAGTGAACTAACAATTCAAATTAGAACGAGTTGATCATGATGTTTCTAGTGGAAATATGAGGGATTGGGTTTGTTATTTGCAAGTGTTGGAGCCGATGGAGGATGTGATCCATCAACATGGTGAAGAAGACCATGACATTGTAAAAGAGGATGAAGTTGTGTTTGCTATAAGATAAAGTTGGTGGAAGTAAGTTTCGGGATGGATGGGTTATGGAGATTAGGAAGGAGGGTTGGAGCGGCGATGGATGAAGAGGAAGCCACAAGCGGGGAGGTTCCGATCTACCATAGTGAGTTGAGGAAAAAAATGATATGTAAAGGATTGTTAGTTCTTTAGAGGCTCGATACCTTGTAGAGAATTTATTAACTCACATTAAAATTCGTTACGGGAGCATATCTTATATACTAAGGCAATCGAAAGGATAACTACGGTAGATGTACAAGTATACTAAACTACTACCGTTAGCTATAATATTAGAGAATAAATAAGAGCATCAATTTTATCCTTATCATAGATAATGAAAAAAACATATAAAGATTTTATACTCTATATAAATAGTTTATACTATCACGTAAATTTTATGTGATGCATAACATGAGATTTTAATGAATTTGATTGTTTCGAATGGAGAAAAAGAAATCACTTGAGTTTTCATTAACTTTTTTTTTTAACTAAATTTAAGTGAATGATCTAAATGAGAATCCATTTAATATGTTAGAAACTTAATCAAAATGAAAATATGTTTGAAACATAATCGACGTTGCCCTTTCAAGTTGGGGACTTATATGAGGTTTGTCCTTTCGTAAACAACCTTTTTTTCTTTGTAGTTGTACAATTTTATGGACATGTGGAGTCTTCAAATGTTCATTTCTCTATTTGGAAGAAGCGTTAATTTGCTAATAGGAATCCGAAGTACTTTTTCTTCATCATCTTATTTTCTCTCAACATATTCTTCAAATAATTTCTGCATTAATGACTCTAACATTACTTCTTCCTCTATTTTCTCTCTCAATTCTCATTTATTCATATCGAGTAATGATTTAAAGAAATTAACCCAACAATATCGTTGTTCTAATTGTTCTTCATCTTACATAATTAATAAACAAGTTGGTGATCATTTATGTTATTAGCGAGTGTTGTTTCAACAACTAGCTAGTACAATATCAAACAAGCTAGTGTAACTACACGGTATGGCCGATCCTTTCCTCAATTCCATATGCAAAAGATCTCTCCACAACCGGGTTTTTCCTTGAAAAGTAGGAGTCAAAGAACACAATAACCATGAGTAATTGTACTAGTCATATATAGGGTCATACATATTACACTCAAGATGATACAAGAAGATTCTTCCGCATCCCAAGAGACTCTAGTTGGGTCCTGCAAAATACAATGTCCAAATGGATATCGCTTGAGTCCTATGACTTGGCAAAGTTCTAGCTTGATTTTTTTGATGAATTGATCTTTTTTTTATGTTAATTTTCTTAATGGCTACAACCTACCTTTGCTTGTTGTGTCTTCCGATTAGGAATGCTTAAGCTCTGGATGTGTGATGGATTTGAATGACATGTTTGCATGTGAGCAAGACCACTAAAAAGTTGCAACCTTCCACTCCAAAGTTGAAGTTGCAATTGCTAATCCATTGATCAAGACTCAATGTTTTCTATTCTTTCAATAAAATTATGCGTGTTCTTCTTACTATTTAAACATTTGGATAAATATATTCATTTGTCTTTATATAATAAAAAAATCTCTCATTTGTCTCTAGATTTTCAATCACATCCTAATTGTTCTTTATTTTTTTAAAAAATATTCAATCATTTTATCATGAATTTTTTTATGACGGAAATGTCCTTTACTAACTGAAAAAAAAACCCTAAGAAATAAAAAATTAAAAACTTAAAGTCACATAACCTATAAGTTCTATTTTTGAAGTCTTTAGATATTTATTTTATTTTATTTTTTTCATATCAATTAGGGGCATTTTGGTTAATTTTTTATTTGGCTAGAAAAATTAATCGAAGGATAAATTGAATATTTGAAACACACTTTCATGAATAAATGACATAATTAAAAATCTAAAACATATGAGAGACTTTAAGTATTATATAAGGAAAAATGAATATATTTATCCGAAATATTATATAAAAAAATTCTTCTCCGATCAAGAGTCATTTAAAAGTCCTAGAATCTAAACTTTACCTAGATGTTTTGTGGTTTGTCAATAAGAAAAAGAAAAGTCTTGACTATATTGTAAAAAAATTGAAACAATTTAGGTGTGAATTATAAGTTTATAACTTATCAAAAAAAAAAAAAGTGTCAATATAGAAAAGTTAGAGACTCTAATTAGTTGGTTTAGTGGTTAAAAAATTGTTTTTTTTCTTTCAAAATTTGAGACCAACATTTATTACGACTTATTCCTCACAATACACCGATTGAAATACATCTTTAAATTTATCATATCTTAAGTAATTTTATATGAAAAATCTAATAGCCCAATTTTTCCTTATATAATAAGATAATTTTTCAATATATCCTTATATCACTTTGGGAACCAATTTTATCCTTGAACATATATTAAGTGTCCCTTATATCATTTTGATAAGATTTTCACATCAAAGCATCAAAATTATTCATGAAATTTTTACATGACTAACTCTTATTCTTAAAGTACCATTGCAAGCAAGTTAAATAAAATGTTTTTATGTGCAAATTGTGTAACTAATTTTAATGATTTGACTTGAAAATATTGATAAAAGAATAAATTAAACACTTAATGTATATGTATTCGAAGATGAAATTTACTCAATTAAAGATATAAGGACAAATTGAAGAATTATTTTACTACATAAAAAAAGATATAATTAATCCTATAAAATTTGAAATATTGGTTAGTATAACAATTGAAAATAACCTATAAAGATAGATATTATTAATACTAAAAAAATCAAAATATATAATTGAAAATAGCCTTTATGTATTATTAATTTAAATTATTGCAAAAAAAAAAAAATCAAATGAATGTAAATGGTTTTTTTTTTGTTTAACCATTAAAGTTTTTTTGGTCCTTAAAGTTTTTGAAAAAAATATTTTGATCCTTAATTTCGAAAATTTATGCCATTAGATCTTTGTATGTAAAAAAAAAAAAAAACAAACAAAAAAAAGAAATTAGTAGGTATTAATATGGTAAGGTGTAACGCTCCATGCTCGAACCCATTCATGATGGCACCCCAAGCGAGGGAGTCGCTATAGTCAACCATAACATACATCTATACCGCTCAACGTAACCGAGACATGACTTATTTTCATATAGTCAAAAAGGAACTTGATCTAATAAACATACATGACTTGTAGTGCAAAAAGGCACCTGACCATGTTGCTTTAAGTTCCAAACTCGTACAAATGTTTGAACTAAACATGAAATAACACTTATCAGCTAATAAAAAGGCAAAAGTTAAGATATACAAAAGGTCCTTAAAGCCACTTATGGCTAACATTCACACTAGACAAAAGAACCCGTCACAAGAGTTCGTTCAAGGAGCTCCGGTTGCATCGTCAACACCCACGGACTTCTCACCTACACCATAAGACATAACAAAATGAGCAAACGCCCAATAAGCATGGTCATGCATGACATTTTGTAAACTTTCATGATGCATATAAATACATTTTCCTTGATGCGGGTACCCTATTAGACTTCCGATCTAGTCCTTTTTTCTTTTACCAAAACCTTTGCCTTTACCAAACCTTTACCTTTCATGCATATATGATTTCAATGCTTTTTTTGAAATATGCAAATATATGCTTATGACGTAAATGCATACATTAATATACTTTAAGGCTCAATTAATTACACCACACATTATCATATAACACATAACAACTAATCAAATATTTACTTACCACATTCAATCACATAATACACATCATATATATGGTCATTGTGGTGAGTTGAACT